GGACAGAGGGAGACAGTTTGGCATTTAAAATGTAACCAAAAAAATTAAATAAAAAATGAACACTTTAGTGAACACTATTTTTTTTCTACAAACTAAAGAAACTGAACCTTAACCAAATCTAATTTTTTAAAAATTTAACAACCAAAACTTATTTTAAAAATATAAATATTATAAAACCTTTCACTTCAACTTCCCGTAAAATAAAAAACAATCTTTTCAGTCATCTTCTTGGCTAAAGAAGTGCTCAGTAGCTTAAGAACTGGTAAGTAAAGGCATGGCCTTCGAAGGTTTAACATTCTAGCCTTTTTACTTTCCCTTCTCACACCAACTACAGCCTCAGAGTCACGAGATATCAACGACCAGGGAAAACAAACTGGCTGGATGAGCCAAACTGGGTCGGGGAATGAGTGTCTAGGTTATCCTTCCCTCCCCGGCTGTGGCAGCTGGCTGGAGCCCCTCACAGGAGCAGGTGGCTGCCTCGAGAAGGGAAGGGGGAAGACAGATGATCCTCCTGACCCCAATAGGAACAATGCAGCCAGAGAAGGTAGGGGCCTTAAAACAATGTGGGGTGACCCACTTCTACACACACCTTTTCCTTCCTCTCCCGCTAAAGGCTCATGGGAGTGAGAGAGGAGAAGAAACTGGGAAGCAGAGGAAATAAGGGCTCCCGCAGAGTGTGGAACTGATGGGCTCTGGCTAGGCAGCCTCACCAAGGGGGACGTGCTGCTGCTGCGTCTCGAACACACACCTAGGAGGCTAACATATTTGTAATATGCTTAGCATATTTGTTTCATTCTCCTTTTCTGTCTCTTTTATGCTTTTAGGACTGAGCAGGCAAGTGTCCTTATGCCCTTGGCTGGCCTCTAGATCACATGCAGTAGGCAGCCTCCAAGAGAAGGGCAGTTTGAGATGATACCTAAGCATTCTTTACAGCCAACTGGCCTACCAGGATCTCTGAGGTCAGCCTGACCTCCACAGAAAGGAAGCTTTGGGCGTTAGACAATTTTCTAGCCACATAAAGCTAGATTCAAACAATATTAATAATTGAGAAATGATCCCCAGTGTCTGCATCAGTCTCTTGAGGCAGCTCCCCAATTTGCTTCTCCTCAGAATCAGCATTTTATGGATGGGAGCTGTTCTCTCTCCCAGGCTGGCTTCTGAAAAGCCTTTGGCCAGAATCCATGGCAGCCCTACCTCGCTTTGCTCTGAAACTTTGAAATGCTCTCTCCTAAGCTCAGATCCACGCAGGTCACTAAGGCAGTAGGCGTTAGAAGCAAATTCTAACCCAGGCTCTCTGAGGTCCAATTCAGCGATCTTTCTATAATGCTGTGACTGCCTCTGACCACTCCCTTCAAAGAGAAGGATCGTCCTGGGTAGGAGGGCCAAACTTGTTCTGCTCTATCCCAGGAGGAAGCCCCTTTGGCCGAGTTGGGCAGTGACAAGGACAAGGAGGAAGTTTTCAGTTCAATGAAAAGAAGAATGTTTTAACAATGAGAGTCGCGTGGACGGGCAATGGAGAGGGGGAATGGAGTAGGGAGGTCACTTTGACGGGGACAGCTCATTTCTCGGGAATGGGAGTGGCTTGTTCCCTCTTCATGGGTCCCAAGTAGGACAAGTTTCTTTGGCCATCTTCAGGCATCCCATGGCTGACTGATCATTGTTGGCTTCAAACCCTTAGAATGGCAATTCTAAATATGGAAAGGATCTTGAACATTTGGTGGTTGTATCTCATTCATACAATGTCTGTTCTCCACCAGACGCTGAAGATTCAAACGTGAAGAACAAAACCACCTTGCCTAAAAAGGAGCTTCTAATGAGGAAGATCACATGAACATATATTGAGCGTGTAAGACGTGTCAAAATCAACTTGTAAAGAAATGCAGTGTCTCAGATAAACTGCAGAGGAGAAACAAACTGTTCTGAGACCAGAGGGAAAACTGGACCTGAGAGGACCCGTCTGAAGCCAGAGCAATGCCCGTGTTTAAAACGACAGCAGTGCACTGTGCTCCCTCAGCTCATCTACACATGCCCTTTTAAGATTATAAATAAAGTAAGTGTTTCAGAACTATGAGAAGATTATAAAAGGATTGCTTAGGGCCTTACGTGCCCAAAAAGTGATTTTTTTTTGTTTCACATTTTAATATGGAGAGGGCTCACTGCTTATGAGGAAGCCCTGATTTGAGGCATCAGAGACCAGAGAAGGAAAGAGAAGTAGGAGACAAGCGGATAAAAGCAGATAGAAGCAGGAGAGCAGCTGAGTGGGGACAGAAGGCACCCAGATGATGAGGGGAACTGCATGTAGACAGAAGACAGAAACTTACAGGAGCTGATCGAGGCTGACAGAAAAAACCTACAACTGTTTGCTGGGAACTGCAGGGAGAGGTGTCACTCTACTAGCAGATGAATGACCCCGGGAAAGCAAGATTGGCAGCTAATGCTGTCTACAACCCAAGAGAGGGGAAATGTTTGTTTGCCTTCTCTGGGACGTGTGTGTGTGTGTGTGTGTGTGTGTGTGTGTGTGTGTGCGCGCGCGACAGAGAGAAGAGGCACAAAGAGAGACAGAAATAGAGACAGAGAAGAGACACAGAGAGACAGAGGGAGAAAGAGAAAGATGGAGGGAAGGAGAGACAGAGACAGAGAAAGGAACACAGAGACACACACAGAGATAGAGAGAGAGAGAGAGAGAGAGAGAGAGAAGGAGGGAGAAACAGAAGCAGAGAGAAAGATGGAGAGAGGGAGAGACAGACAGAAAGAAAAAGAGAGAGAGAGAGAGAGATGGAGAGAGAGAAAGAAAGAGATACAGAGAGAGACAGAGAGAGAGGTTTTGCATGTGCTTTGCTGAGAGGTGATTGGAGAAAGCAGGATCTTCTGCTAATGGAAGAGGTGGCTGGGGAAAGGCTGCAGGAACTTAACACTTATGAATATGGAGAGAGAAACGCCACAGAGCACCAGAGCAAATCTGAGAGAGTTTAGCAGTTCTTTGGTTTAAGGGGACAGTTTGTCACTGAAAGAGCTTAACATTTTCTCAGGATACTATCAAGGATGTCCATGTGCTTTTCACTGCCTTAGCCCTGAGAATAATGTGAAGCAGCTTTGCCCAGTAAGAGAGCCCTGAAGACCAAAAGGAGAATTTTTTCAAAGGCATTTTGCCCAATAGGTGATGTATGGAGCAGACACTGCTCCCTAAAGAGATCAAAAGCGAGGCCAGGAGTCCAGAGTTCTGAATCACCCCGGGGCCGAGGCTTCCCCACTCATGTGCCTCGGCCAGGTTTCTGAACGTGACTGTTCTCTCCCAACGATACTGTGCATTGCCTGAAAAGTATGACAAAGGTTTATAGATGGACCATTTTAATTAGAACATCCCTGCTTTTGTCTTCTCATTATACATTAATGTTTATATTAATACATTAATTTACATTAGTACAAAGAAATGTTTCCTGTTTAAGAGTCAGTGGTGTTATTTGTAACTTGTTTTGTGTAGATGGGATTCATACAAGTGAAAGCTGGTAACAGGGTTAGCCCTAGGACACTATAAAAGAGTGATCCACTTCTGGGAAAATCTCCAATCTCACCCAGTGGGGTCGAGTCATTAAGTGGGAGAGGAGCAGTATGGGTGTCACATGAGACAACATGCCCAGCCTATAATTATATAGGCCCAGGTGTGGCCCAATGCCAAGCATGAGCCTGCTTGGGATGGAGGAAGATAGGGCCAGGGTGCTGATGACTGGATTGATGCAAGTTGGCGCCTGCCTCCAGATCCAGCATGGTGGGTTTGTGCAGATGTTTAGCCTGGGCCTCTGAAATGAGAACTGGGTTGGGGCCACTTCTGGAGGGGGTGGGGGTTTGGGAGGTCTGTCAAAGGAAGGGGAAGGGGGTAGAGATGTGCAATGCAGACAAGGCTCGAGCCAGTGGGAATTAAAAATGGAGGCCCAATAGCAGCCTCCCCTAGGCCAGGCCTAGGGCATCTCTAGACTACCCACTCCGAGGGGTTACTGCCCACCCATGCTGCATAGGAATCACTGCATAGGAATCGCATAGGAGCTTTGTTTGTCTAATGGAGCAGAGCCTTACCTAAGAGCTGGAGCAGGCAGGATGGGAGCAGACAGGGCACCAAAGGCAGTGTTGGCCTTCGTGAGGAAGCAGCCACGCGGCCTGAGAGAAAGCCACCAGTGGCTTGCCTTACATCCACTTTGTGAGGTTCCTTAAGCCGCTCTCTCCCCCTCTCTGGGCCTCAGTCTCCTTCTGTGTAAAATAAGGCAATCCCTAAGATCCCTTCTGGCTCCAGTTCCTGCCCCTCCGTCCAGGACCTCCCGGCCCCTCCCTAGGGTCAGCCCCTGGGCCTCAGGGGTCTGTTTCCCTGGCTGGGCCTCAGTTGCCCCATCTGTCAAGCAACAGAACCAGACAATCATTTCTAAGCCTCCTTTCAGACAGAACTGTCTCTGGGTAAGTTCCACTGGTTTGTGGAGATGTGAGTCTGAGGGCAGCAGGGGCCAGGGATGTGAGGGGGAGAGAAGCCACAGGAGGGGATGGGGAGGGGCGGGGAATGGAGGGAGAGATGAAAAGGAAAAGGGGAGGAGGGAGGGAAGGGAGAGAAGAGGAGAGGAGGGAAAGGGAGGAGAGGAGAGGAAGGGGAGAGAGGGGAGAGAAGAGGAGGGAAAGAGGAGGAGGGCAGGCCCATTTAGAAGTTGGGGCTGGGGATAAGAAGCCCAAGAAAAGGGAGAATAGAATCAAGCAAAGAGAATCATAGACTTGCAGATCTACTTGGACATGAAGTGCAGCGAAGGAAACTGAGGCCAGGAGCAAATGTCTTGCCAAAGACCCACAGCTGGCCAGGGCTGTTTCTCAGACCTTCTGCTTTCTAGTCCAGGTCCCAGCTAACAAGACTGCAAGGAGTCAGTACGTGGGGAGGGAGAGGCTCAGAGAGGCCACCCCATCTTCTGGGGTAGAGCCGCCACATCCGAGGAGGAAGCTAATGGTCATCCCAGGAGGAAGTGGGAGAATGCTGAGCAGGGAGATAAATAGTCCCCCTCCAAAAGCAGACCAAATGAGCAGGACCTCCCTCACCCAGGGCCCCATTTTGCTAAGTCTCTTTAGGGTGTAAGGAGGCGAGGATCCATCTGCACCCCTACCTCCCTGGAGGTCCTGGCCAGGACCATGGGCTCTTTTCTCCTCACCCTACTTTCTTTTGGTGAGTTCCATGAGAGTGGGAGAGGGTCCTGATGGAGAAAGGGAGATCCCAAGGAGGCAGGCCTGAGTGGGGCTGGGAGATCCCAAGGGAGCAAACCTGAGTGGGGCTGGGAGATCCCAAGGGGGCTAGCCTGAGTGGGGAGGGGGCTGGGAGATCCCGAGGAGGCAACCCTGAATGGGGAGGGGGCTGGGAGATCCTGAGGGGGCAAGCCTGAGTGGGGCTGGGAGATCCTGAGGGGGCAAGCCTGAGTGGGGCTGGGAGATCCCAAGGGGGCAAGCCTGAGGGGGGAGGGGGCTGGGAGATCCTGAGGAGGCAAGCCTGAGTGGGGAGGAGGACTGCCCAGACCAGTTGTGCCACCTTGAGCAAGTCACTCTTCTGCTCTGAACATCAGTTTCCCCGTCTGTGAAATTAGGGGTCAGACTTCATGATCTTAAGGTCCCTTCCAGCAAACATTTCTCAACTCCCGGAGGCCCTGAGAAGTACAGGAGTCGGACCCCAGGGGACATCCCCTCATCACCGGGAGGGAAATCTATCTGTCTCTCATCAGATCCTCTCCCACAGGGCTGTGTCTGAGCCTGGGGATCACAGCACAAATAGGTGAGTCCCCCCTGCCCCCATGCCCCCCCAGAGCCTCTACCTGATCAACACAGATGGATGTTCCCCTCAACACGCCGGCTCCCAGAGCAGGAGCTAGGGGGAGAGGCCGGGGCTCTGGACCAGGCTGAGCCAGCAGGGAAGGCTGGGGTGGGGGTGGGGAGGAGTAGGGGGGTGTGACAGCCCTGGCTCTGGACTCTCATCCTCTTCCAGTCACACTCTCCAAACCCATCCTCTGGGCAAAGCCTCGCTCTATGGTTGCCTGGGGCACAGATGTAATCCTGTGGTGCCAAGGTCCCCCTGGAGTTGACATGTACCGCCTGGAGCGGCTCGACTCCCCCAATGACTACAAGGACCAGCCTGGCCTTCCGGGGACAGAAGCCCGGGCACGGTTTCCCCTGGGCAGTGCGCTGGCCTCTGTCGCAGGCAGGTACAGGTGTTCCTACAGGAATGGGAGTCGCTGGTCACAGCCCAGCAACCAGTTGGAGCTCATAGTGACAGGTGAGGGGAGACACCACTGAGACCACGCAGCCCTGAAGCCTGGGAGGTGGATGGGGGAGAGGATCCCAGAGGCAGCAGAGAGCCAGGCCAGAGGTGGGGGGAGCCCGGGGGCAGCAGACAGCAGAGCTCTCAGAGGTGGGGGAGCCTGGGGACAGCAGAGAGTGGAGCCAGAGGTGGGGAGATTATCTTCCAGCCAGAGAAAGAGGAAGACTGAGCTTCCGTACACACACACACGTAGACACCTGTACAAACACGCACAACCCACCAGGAGCAGGAGTTCCCCTGTAACATTCCCTCTCCTCCTTCCCAGGCTTGTATGACAAACCCTCCTTCTCCATCCTGCCTGGCACTGAGGTGTCTTCTGGGGAGAATGTGACATTCTCTTGCAGCTCCAAATTTGGCTTTAATATGTTTACAATAGCCAAGGAGGGAAGAGCTGGCATCTGGAGGACTCAGGAAGGGTTGTCTCCGGTCTACTTCTCCATCCCTACAGTGACCGCCAGTCACAATGGCACCTATCAATGCTATGGGTTTGACAGTCACTTTCCCCACCTGTGGACAGCCCCAAGTGAACCCTTGGAGCTCCGGGTCAAAGGTAAAGGGTCCCCAGCCCAGTAGCCGTCAGCACTCTCCAAGTAGATCTAGGCCCTCCAGCCTTGCCGCTCAGGGCCCCGCCCCAGCAGAGGCCAGAAAGCTCATGGAGGGTCCCAGGGGGTCTGAGGCAGGGGACGGAGACAGAGATCCTAGAGGCTGAGAATGGGTAGAATACTTCTTGCCCAAGGCTAGCAAGCTTCCTGAACACTCAATGCATTGTTGCTTCTGGAGTCAAGCTGAAATGAGTCGAATCGAATTAAGTCTGACTGAGCTGAGCTAAGAGCAGAGAAAGACTCGGGATAGTACAGAGGCAGTGTGGTGGAGTGGAAAGAGCCCTGGCTTTGGAACCAAACTTGGGTCCAAATTTGGGCTCTGCCACTTGTCAGCTGGTGATTTGGTGCCATGCCCCTTAACTTCTCTGAGACGTCTGTAAAATGGGGGTGGGCTAGCTTCCATCCAGCTCTGTCTCTGAGGCCTTCTCCAGCTCCAGATCAGCAGGGCTGAGGCGGAAGAGAAACAGGGGACCTGAGATAGAGAGAGACATCTTTTACTTCCCTATTTCTAGGAATTCCTCAACCCCCCTCCCCAAGAGAGTCAAATACTCCGACTGGTGAGTAAGGGGACCTCCAAGTTCCAGGTCAAAGGTTCCCCAAGGTGGGCATCTGTCCCCCCCTAACTCTCACTGGCCAGCTGTCCTCACTGTGGGGGGAGGAGGGGCTTAAGGCCAGGGCTGTCCCCAGGGAGATGAAAAGGACTGGAGAAGGGTCTGGGTGGTCCCTAAAAGAAGTATCTGGGTGCATGGCTCTGCTGCCAGAATGGCCAGCTCTGCTGAGTAACCAGCTTTATAACCTTCCTCTCTCTGGACCTTAATTTCCTCATTAGTATAAATAAGGAGGTTGGACTCAGTGATCTGTAAGAACCCTTCCAAACCGAACTTCTGGGTTCCCTCTGATAATGGACAGGCAGAATGAAGGATACTCAGGCTGTGGGTGGTGGAGGGCTCAGGGCAGACACAGGGAGGTTGGCCAGCCCCTAACCCTCCCCCTTCTCTCTTCTCCATTCCCAGGAGCTCCCACATCCCCCCACATTTTCCCAGATAAGGTGGACATCCCAATAGGTGAGCTAGCCAGACCTCCCAACTCTGGAGGGGAGGGACCTCCACATTTCACCATCCCTGCCACCCTTCTGACTCAGGGCCCCTATGCCCAGGAAACTGGGAGGAGCAAGTCTTAGGGGCTCAGAGGCTAGCTTCCAAGACAGAAGCCCTCTTGAACTGGCTGACTTAATGTGCCTGGGGCCTCAGTCAGTTTATTGAGGTAAAAGGGGACTCCCAAGGCAGAGACCTCATACAACAATGGACCCTAAGTTCTGAGCTATGTCTCAGAGACTCCATCCTTCTGGACCCAGCCAATAACAGCCTTATCCTCACAGGTCTCACTTCCCAGGATTATACTGTGTCCAACCTTGTCCGACTGGTCTTGGCTGGATTGACAGTGGCTGCCCTGGGGGTACTTCTGGCTGAAGCCTGGAGGGCAAAATTCCACATGCTTTCAGGGTCCCCTTCCCAGGCCCAGGGCCCAACAGCTCCACAGGTGAAGGGATTGCCTCTCTAATGATCCTGGACCCACACTGCTGATCCACAGAGACTGGTCTCAGGGTGGGAGGTCCGGGTAAGATGCCTCAGGGAGTTCTAAGGGTCTGCCTAAAGGCATGGGGCAGAGGAAGAGGGAGTGTCTATGAGTCTGTTGGGTCCAAGGACCTGCCAAGGACCTTCATAAAGAACAGAGAAATGTTGGTAAGCCCTTATGTCTGTGTTTCCATCCATCCATCCATCCATCCATCCATCCATCCACCCATCTATCCATCTGTCCATCCGTCCTTCTGTCCATCCATCCATCTATCTTTACCTGGGTCTGAGGCCTCCTCAAGGACTAGGGGTCTGAGAACAGCTTATCAGCTCCAAACAGAACCACAGTGCTATTGCTGCAGAGAACCTCCACCTAACACTCCAATGGAGTGTGCAAGTCAATGCTACATAGGTGTCTGGACACCAATGCACATCCTTATTTTACAGAGGGGGACACATAGGCCTTGGGAGGGGAAGAGATTTGCTCAGGATTATAGAGCAAATAAAAGACAGAGCTGGAGCTGGAATCCAGTCTCCAGTAGCCTCCCTCCTCTGCACCCTCCATTGGGAACTCTCTGCTTCCAAGCTTTCAAGGAGGCATGAACTTGATGGGACATCCTGCCCAGAACAATGCTGCCTCCTTTTCTCATCCTTCAGGATCCACCTCCTCCAGGCAGCCTTCCCTGACCTGACCCTGAATCCAGCTGTCTAGACTCAAGGGCCAGGGGGCTCTCCCTCCCTTCCTTCTTCCTCCCTCCCCCCAGCCAACACACCCAAGAGGAGAACTGAACTGATAACAACAGCTCCCATCCATCTTCATTAACTTTAAGGTTGGAACGACAGACATCCTGTCAAGGCAGGAGGGAGAGGGCTCATCCCTGTCATACAAATGAGGAAACTGAGAAGAGAAGGCCACCCAAGTGGTGGCCACAGGGACAAGCTGAAAAATCTGTCCAGGAGCCAGAAATGACCCTTGGGTCCCCAGACCTTTGACCCCTCTTGCTTTTGTATCCCCAGCACCAAGCCTGGCTCAGAAGAGGCACTTCATAAAGGCCACTGGGTTCCATAGTGCAAGGTCTAGACCCAACATGGAGGGTGTAGGAGTCAGGGCTTGGAGCCAGGCTCTGGGTGCCAGATGTGCCTTCAGTCACTGTGTGAGCCAGGGAAGAGATGCTGTCTCCTGTCCTCACTTGTCTGCTCTGTCAAATGGAGGGATGTTTAAGCCTCTTCTAGCTCTGAGCCTGGGGGCTCCCGGAGAGGCCAGTGAGCCGGACTTGGGGTCCTGATTCTGCTCCTTAAGTATCTCCTCCCTGGGGCTTTCTTCTTTCTCAAACAAAGGAGGGATGGGACCAGATGATGACTAAGGTCACTTTGGCTTGTGTTGGGAGACTCTGGGATTCCTGAGTCCAGTCTCTGACCAGTGTAGCCTCCAGGTCCAACCCAGGGAACTGCCACTGTCTGGTGATCCTAGGGAGGAGAATCCAGGACAGAGCCTCCCCTCCAGCCCAACAGCCCTTATGCCTCAGTGAATGAGCAAAGCCTCCCCCATAATACCCCAGGCTCCCTGTGTCAGGCTCCAGAAAGACAGAAAGGAAGGAGAAAGAAGACAGCATTTTGAGTTGGAAAGGCCCCCGGAGACTCCTCTGAGCCAGAGAAAATGAGGAGCAACCAGTCTAGGAATTACCCTAGTAATGAGTGAGTGGGTGGGTGGGTGAGGGGCAGAGCTTGGAGCCCTTCCCTGCTTCTCCAACTGGAGGCTGGATGTAGGGAGCAGATACGGGGTGGTCCACCAGGGAAGCAGACTGACTTCCTGGGGAGGATGGAAATGGAAGGGGGAGGGGAGGGCTCTCAGGACTGACTGCTGTCCCACCTTCTCCAGGGCTCCCAGGAGGGCAGCCTTGGCTGAGCAGATGCAAGGACGCTGGGGAGACCTGTGTTCCTGGCCCTGGAAGGACCCTCAGCCATTCCCCCCTCTGACTCTGGGTCTCTTTTCCTCTTCCTCCCACTCCATCCTGTCTAGTAGCATCCCCATCCCCCATCAGCTGAATCTGGAAACCATTACTCTTTCCCAACCCAGGCTCCAGGAAATTCCAGGCCAGGAAGCAGAGCAGTGGGGGCCTGGGGGGAGGGGGGAGGGAACCGGGGCATGTCCGAGGGCTCTGAAGCATCTCCTCCAGCAGCTCAAAGCTCCCTTTAGCTCCTAAGCCCCTAGAGAAATTCCAGCCTCCTCCTCCTTGCCCTTATCCCTAATCAGAGGGCGGTCCAGTACCCGGGGGTAATTCCTGGACAGCTGGCCCTTTAAATCCCAGAGCCAAACTTTTTAGGCTGACTGAGGGAGGGATGGAGAGGAGGGGCTAGGGACTTAACCCTCCCAACCCCGAGAGGGGCCAGACTGGGCGTCAGCTCCTGATCTCGGGATCCCGCTCCTGCCTCCCTTCCTGTCATGGCCCCCTCAAACTGGGGCTGACCTTCTGGTGGGCCTGGCCAGGTAGGATGGGACTCAGATGCCCGGATCCCTGAGGGGGTGGCGGCTGGTAGGCTGGATGCCAGGGTCCCTGAGTGAAGCGAGGGCTGGGGACTCAGACGCCTGGGTCCCTGAGGCCCCTCCTGGCTCTCCCTTTGCCAGGTGAAAGGAGGGGGTGCTTGAGGAGGATTTGGTGGCGGACTCAAGAGGGCCCTGCCCCAGCAGAGCGGAGCTGGCCAGGACTGAGGACCCTCCCGGGGCCCAAGGATCCCCTTAAAGAGTAAGGGGGACAGTGGGGTGGATGGGCCCAGCCCCTGGGCAAAGAAGCCACGTGGGCGAGGGGTGGGGTAGGGTAGGCTGAGGACTTCGTGGAGGGTGCTCAGACTGTGATAGGTTCCCCGCCCCCCAGCCCTCTGCTGCAACTGGAGAACCAGTCCGGCGGGGTCCAGGTGGGTGTGATTTCCGCCTGGGAGGGACCGGGATGTTTGTAGGGGGAGGGGGGGGTGACCCAGGGACACGTTGAGAAAGAGGATACTGAGGTGAGGCAGTTGGAGGAAGTCGAGAAGCTGCCCAAGAGGGGAGGAGAGAAAAGGGACTCCCAGGGGAGCCAGGCCCTCCAGGGGAACCGTTGAGTTTTCCCACTGGAGATTAGCAGGGCAGGACAGCCCAGGTTTTCAGGGAAGCCTGGATCAGGAGAGATCGGGCCTTTTGGAATAGTAGGGAATGCCTCTTTCCCACTCCACCTCCCCCACCCCTCTGTGCTGACCTGAGCCTCTCCTCTCCTCCCAGATGCCCATCCTGAAACAGCTGGGCCCAGCCCTGCCCAAAAAGCGTTTGGACCGAGATGCCATCTCAGCTCCACTGGGTGACTTTCGGCACACCATGCATGTGGGACGTGGGGGCGATGCCTTTGGGGACACGTCCTTCCTGAGTCGCCACGGCGGCGAGGGCGGGGGGCCAACCCCGTCCCCTGGCCCCTCCCCAGGCCCTTCCCCAGCCCCCTCCGCTGCTCCATCCCCAGCGCGCCCAGCCCTGCCACCCCCCACCGCTCCCCAGCCCCCACGACCCTCTGAAAGCCAGTCCGAGTCCCGACCGGCCGCTGCAGACCCTTTTCTGTCCTTTCACTTGGATCTGGGGCCCTCCCTCCTAGAGGAGGTGCTAGGGGTGATGGATCGCGGGGCCCTGGCAGATGCAGGAGCTGCCCCGAGTGCCCACAACGGTGGGCTGCTGACCTCCCAGCCGGGCTTCGGCTCCGAGGAGGACCTGGATGAAGTTATCGGTCTGTAGAGGTGCTCGCAGGAGCTGTCTCCCGGGACCCAGGCCAGGAGCCTGACTTGGCCTTGCCTTGTACCAGAAGTTTTTATACGATGCCCCCTGTATAGTACCCTCCTTCCTCTCCCTCCTCCTCCCCCTCCATGCCTAGCCAATCCCCCCCCTCCAAAAAAAATCTTTATATATAAAGAAATACCAACCATTTATTTAAGCTGCTTGGGCTAGAGTGTTTCTAGCAGGTACGTGGGATGTGGGTTCAGCCCTTGCAAGTACTCCTCAGCCCCAAGTTAGGTTGGGAGCGAGGACGCTTATGTTGGATTTGCAATTGGGCTCCTTTCTGGGCCTCAGTTTCTCTTTTAGGTCCTTTCCAGGCCCGTGGCAATAGTAACAACCTCTGGTGTTCCTGTAGGGAGGGCTTTACGACCCGCTCTTCTTTGAGCCACATCTCCACCTTTACGGGGGCACGAAAGATAATCTCCCTCGGCGGGGGAGAAAACGAACAGAGCAGCGCTGGAACCGCAGGCGCCGGCCTCCGAAGAGCGAGTCTCTTTAAGAGCCTCACCCCACGCCAGCAGACTTCGAAGGGGCGTGAGCAGCGAGGCCGGAAGAGCGGACGGGGCACGGGTCCCAGGAGCAAGCCCTTTGCCCCGGGCGCGGCTGCTGGAGCCCGGGGACTGCAGCATGGCGGAGGCGGGGGCCCCGGGGCCCATCTGCCGGTTCTATCTGGAGGGGCGCTGCCACTTTGGGGCCCGCTGCCGGCTCCCCCACCCCGGAGCCCAGGCTGAGCCTCAGCCGGGACCGCAGTCGGGGCCCGAGGGCAAGAAACCCTCCATGAAGACCGCCCAGGCTGTGATCGACCGCATCCGCTGGGACCCTCACCTGGACCCTGGCGACTTCTCCGTGGGTTACTTGGACCGCTTCCGAGGCGTGCAGGAGGAGCCCTTCACCGCCTTCTGCTGGGACGAGGAGCTGGCTGCGCTCGGCCCCGGGGTGATGGCCGTGCCCCAGCACCGCATCCGCTACTTCCGGCACCGCGGCCGCCTCGTGTGGGACCGCGCCTCCCGCACCGACCTCGTCTTCGGCTCGGCAGAGGGCCGTGGCACCACCATCCTGGACGGGCTCGCCGCAGCCGGCGCCCCGGGGGAAGACGGCCCGCCAGGGATAGTATCCAGCGCCCTGGAGGACAGCCGGCTAAGGTCGGAGTCTCTCTGCCCCAGCAGCAGCACAGAGCCAGAGCTAAAGACCAAGCATAGTACTTCAGCCCACCAGGGGCTCCGTCCCACCCATTTCGTGGCCCTAATGATAACTGAGCCGGAGCTTCGGGAAGCAGTGGCCAGGGCCCACGCTCGCCTGATAGAAGCAGAAGCCTCCATGGGCAGCAGCCTGGTGGGCCTCGACGCCCTCCACCTTACGTTGGTTTTGCTTCGCCTGGCAGGTCCAGGGGAGGTGGCCGCAGCTGCTCGGGCACTAAGATGCCTAGTCCGGGTGCCCAGCTTCCACTACCCAATGGCACTTCATTTCCAGAACCTAGCTTGCTTGGACCACAGAGTGATCTACTCCATCCCAAGCCCTGACCTGGAGGACTTGGCCCACACCCTGGCGCAAGGGCTGAAGGCGGAAGGGTTTCAGGTCATGGAGCCCTCTGCAGAGGAGTTAGGCCCTCACCTCACTTTGGCCAAGCTGCCTAGGGGGACCCCTGGGCACCTGTCCCTGCCAGAGGCTGAGGAGGGGGCAGAACTGGGCAGCCAATCAGTGGAAGGGTTTCAGCTCTGCTCCCTAAGGGGGCTGCAAGGGGCTAGGGGTTGCTATTCCGTATTAGCCCAGGTGCCCCTAGGCCCCTCCACCCAGCCCAGAGCTCTCAGCTAGAACCTGGCCTATCAGCCCCGCAGGAGGAGGCAGACTGCTCCAAACAAATGGGTACTTCCTTCCCTCTCCTCCTGCCTCAGTGGCACCTGGGCAGTGCCCCTGAGATGAGGCCTACAGCAGCAAGGGGAAAAGAAAGGACACCCACAAGTGTTTGTTCATTCTCTCTCTCTCTCTCTCTCTCTTCTTTTTTTTTTCTTTAATTAACTTTCTTATTTTTTTTTTCCCAAACCGTGCTCAGCACTCCTTGGTTGCAGGGAAGGAGGGAGGGAGGAAGGAAGGAAGGCGGGGAAGGATGGTGGGGAGGAAGGGGGAAGGTCAGAGGGAACAGGAACATCTGGAAAGGAGAGGCAGCCTGACAGTCCAGCTGTTTTCTATCTCATTGCACATTACTGAGTTACATGGCAGAAAAGGAGGGAAAGAAGGGTTTGAAAAGAAAGGGGGAGGGGAAAATAATTTAAAAAATAAAATATCAAAGGAAGAAATGATGCGACCTGGTGACCCATGGAGGCAAGAAGGGGAAAGGAGGGATGACCTTTTTACCTGTGCAGAACCAGAAGGGGGAGGGGGAAAAGAGAAAGGGGGATGGGGAAAGAAACCAAAACAGACACTGGGAAGGAAGGAAAGGGGGGGGACGGAGTAAGACATGGAGACAACTTAATACAACTTGAGATGCATCAGACTTGTGGTCCCGGCGGCTCCCACGGCGGTGACTTGGCATTCGTGGTGACGTCCTCTTGGCTGCAGCAGCGTTTCAGGGTGGGGGTGGGGGGGCAGGTGTACAGTCTGAAGCAACTCCCCCCAGCCCCAGACAAGATGAAGCCCACCCCCCTTCGGGGGAAAGGGCAGCAAGAGTCTCTTCAAGGTGGGGGGTGACAGCAGAGTGCAGGATGGGGGGAGGGTCGTCGTCCCCCCCGGGCTGGCTGAAGGCACCCCCTCTTCCTTCTTCCCCCAGCCCCCTCCTGCGTGGAGGGGCATGGGGCACCGGCCGGGCGCCTGGGACGAGCTCAGGAGAGAAAGAGAGAAAACACTGAGAGAGTGTTAGTGGGGGGGTGAGAGGGCAGACAGACCTACAAACCCACGGCCCACCACCCACTCTCCAAACCCTCCCCACTCCCCACCCGAGGCCCACTCAAGAAAATAAAAATGTAGAAAAATTCTCTGTACAAAATCCCTGGGGTTTCAAAGGCAAGGAGAGAGGAGGCAAAGGCTCCAGCCAGGCCTCTCCCAAACGTACATCCCAGTCTGTGGCTCAAAGAAACCAGTTTAAACCAGTAAACGCTGATTGGGGGGAGGGGCGGGGGGCGGAGAGACCTCCACCAGCCCCTTCTCGTCCTTCCTAATCTCCCCAGCTGGCTCTGGCAGGCTGCCAGGCCCTGGCCCCGCCCCACCCCCTGCAGGCGCTCAGAAGGTGGGCAGCTGCGCCACGCTGAGCCGGCAGTCGATGCTGGTGTTGTCGGGCCCCACGTAGCCCAGGCCCAAGGGGGCCAGAAAGGCTCGGCAGGCGGCCTCGCCCTCGAAGGCCAGCTCCCCCTGCACGAAGGAGACGGGCAGCGCCGGGCGGAAGCTATGGAGACAAGAGGAGACATGGATGAAGGGCGGGGGGAAGAGACGGGGCCCAGGGACCCACAGGAAATGGGTCATCAGCCAACCCCCACCCGCAGTGCAGCTGAAGCAAGGGACGCGGGCCCGGCTGGGGCCCCCACCACGACCTCCCCCCCAGAGCAAAAGGAAGGCTCCTTCAGCCGCTGCCGACACCACCCCCACACCCTGTGCTCCCACTTACCTGTGCAGGGAGGTAGGGGAAAGTGAGGGGGCACAGACAAGGACAGAGGGTAAAGGAGCCAGGAGTCCAAGGCTCCCAGCCCTCAGAGGGGGGCACAGCTCAGGCCGTGGAGCTGGGAGAAGGAAGGCAGAGGGAAAGAGAAACAAGCTAGCTACAGAGCAGGAGGAAGCAGAAGGCGCACACACGCACACCAGGACCAACTAGCCGGCCAGCCACCTACTGCGTACACGCCACACACGGGCACTCACGAGGAAGCAACAGAAACGGCCAGCACACATCAACGAGGGGACCCAGAAGCCCCAGACAAGGCCCCAGATCAGCAACATCGGAAGGGCAGCCCTGCACTCTCCTGGCCGTGGCCTCAGCAGCATGCCCTGCAGCTGCTCTCTGGGTCCAGGAGCCGCTCCTCGACAGCACTGGCTTTCAGTCAGAAGACCTAGGTTCAAATCTGTGCTCAGCTCCTTGAAGGACCTTGGGCACTCCCTTCCCTGGCGGCCACGTCTCACTGGTAAAACCAGGCATCAGCCTAGATGTTCCTGGAGATCTCTCCCAGTTCTAAGTCCTATGACCTGAACCTCGGCATTCTGACGGACTTCCTAAGGAAGCCGACCTCGGGTGGGAAAGCTTGGTGCAGATGCCCAAGTTTATTCTCCAGCCCAATCTTGCAGGAGCGTTCCTTCTGTGCAGACTGGCCTCAGCCTGGGTGCTGCCAGAGGAGAGGGAGGACAGGCTCCTGTCCAAATCAGGAGTCATCCTAACAGCAGAGGGTCTGCCTGGCTCGGGCCAAACAAAAGGCCTTTCCTCAGACTGAAAACTGGCCAGGTGCACGGTCCTCACTAGACATCCTAGAGCGTGAGCAGCTATGAGAGACTGGCCGTGGAGATGGCAGCGTGGGCGAGAGAAGAGCCAGTATGGAAGGTCAGCTCTGCCTGTCTACACACAAACATCTGAAGCACAGCGAGGAAGCTGCAAGCACGGGAACAAGAGGACATCGCAAGGAGCCGACTGGAACCTTGACATCCCAGACACTCGCTGGCATGAGACCCACGACCAGAAAATGCCTCCAGAAAGGCTTCCTCTGTTCCCAGCAGACAGAGCAGTTAACAGGGGCGGAAGTCAGGGCAGCATCAGATATGTTAAGATATATTTGAGAGAAATGTCAGGATTCAGAGCTAAGAACCATGCTGAAAGAAGTGTCCTCCAAGCAGACTCTAGAGCACCTGCCCAGAACTGGGGCAAAGCGCCCAAGCCCAGGCGAGGGACAACAGGGAGTGGTGCAGCTACCTATCGGCACCAGGGGCTCTCTGACAAGAGTGGAGCCGCGAAAGACCTCCTGCTTCTGGGTCGGATGTGTGGAGAAGGGGGCCTTTCGGGGCAGCTAAGCCCAGCCTCATGGGCCACCCAGGTTTGGGGAGTTTTCAGGGTGTCAAAGAAGCACTAGGACCCCAACAGTCTAAAATTCTGCTGGGGAAATCAGCCAAGAAGGGTGGCATGGTCTGAAGGAGACTCAGAGAAAAGAGAGGGGGCTGCCTGAAGAAGCCTGTGCAAATACCACGGACCTCTCACGAGGTGAGATCTGCCTTGGCCCATGTGCATAAAGGCCTTCCACTCCTCATGCCTGGGGCTCTTCTCCCAAGAAAGTGAGGATCTCACCGCTGCCTGGCCACAACAGAGGAACTCAAGCCCTAAGTTTCTGCTGTTTCACCTATGCAGCTAGGGGGCGTCACAGTGCACAGAGCACCACACCAGGAGTCAGAAAGAAGAGTTCCAATCCAGCTTCAGACACTTAACTAGCTGTATGACTCCGGGCAAAGCACTTCACCTCTGCCCCCGTTTCTCCATGTGTAGATTGGTGAAAAAAAACCTACTATCTTCCTTTCAGGAATGTTGTGAGAATCCAATGAAATAAAGCCATAAAGTGCTTAGCCCACAGCAGCCATGTAGCATCTGGCACACAGCTGGCACTTACTTAGTAACTATGTGTTTGTTTCTCTACTTCCTTGGTTGCATTTTTTAATAAAACTAAAACTACAATGGAAAAGCTCTCCATAGGCCTGAAGGCTGTAGCTGGGCAAGCCCTGTTCTACATGAAACTAAAGTCCACATACAGAAGACGGCAGCAAGAACAAGTCTGCAGAGACGAACAGGAAATCACAGGCTAGCTGCGTAAGGCTCAGGGGGAAGAGGAAGACAGACAAGCAGATGGGGTCCTCTCAATGGCTGTCTTGGAAAAGAGGATCAATCACGGGATAGGCTCACTGCTAGGGGTCGAGGGAGAGCGGGCACACCCAAGGGGAAAAGCTGGCCAGAAGGACACTGCCAGCCAGGACAGAGATGACCGAGTGTCCCAGAGAAGTCCAAGGCCCCACGACCTACAGAAACTACATCTCTGGGTACCACGGGCGGGGCCAATGGGGGGCTGAGCCAAAAGCATATGGATGACCATGAGACACCGGCAAACGCCAGAAGGACAGGCGGGCAGGAGAAGGCTGAGGAGCCAGCGCAGGCGGCTTTCCCTGCAAGAGATCAGGTCCCACTGACCTCTCCTTTCTGGACAGAGCCACTAAGCTGCTCCACCAGGGACACACCCTTTAGTCTGCCTAGACAAAGCATCTGACAGTCAACTGGACAAAGCTGTGGGTCAGAAGAGAGCCTGTACAATGATGATGCCACCTAACCTCCGAACAGCTGGAACCAAAGCTGACATGTGAATGGCTGGCTCGGTGTCACTCTGGAAGGCTCAAGCACACAGAGCTTTACTTAGCAAGGAGCTCAGAGGCCGTCTAGCCCAGCCTTTCTGTGTTTTTACAGATGAGGAAACTGACGCCCAGGGTGATTTAGGAACTAGCCCAAGGTCACACAAATAGCACATCGTCTGAGGCAGAATTCGAACCCAAGGCCTCCGACACATCCACTTGCTCTGCACCCCACCCAGCCCATCTCTAGCAGAGAATCCCACAGACCCTTAACAATCCTACCAATCACAGGGATAAATAAAGGCAAAGATGGCCAAGTGACCACAGCACAGCTGCCGCACATCTGGGCACACCAGTCACACACCGGGTGACTTCCGAAAGCCCACCACGTGGGGCTGAACCTAGGAAGATGAGATTCCAGGAGGATCCAGAGGAAGTCCACCACCTCCCCCAGACTCCACACAGGGAAGCCGGTCTGGGGCCTTCCTGGCCTTCCAGCACCACGCATGCCATCTGGGACACAACACAGCAACAAGGAGGCCTGGGGTCCACTGCACAGCCCCCACCTGGAGAGTCCCGTGTGCACTTCTGCAAGTCAGACAGCAATTAGCTCAGAAGCTGCCTGGGGGGGGGGGAGGCCTGGGAGGGCTAGTTAGCCAAACCAGAGGAGTCTGCCCTGCAACGCAGACGTCTCAGCAGCGCGCGAGAACCAGCTGCGAGGACTCCAAGGCTTGTCCCAGAAGGGAGGCCTGGGAGCAATGGGGAGAAGCTGCCAAGCTGAAGGGCAGGAAAAAACCGTGACTCGACAGCAGCGTCCCAAGCCCTCTCAGAGGCCAAAGCAGCACTGCTAGTTTTCAAGGATGTCCTACAGGGGATTCCTTTTGGGGCCTGGGCTGGACTAGATGGCTCGTGAGGACCTTCTGAAGTTGAGACTCTCTCCCAAAGTTCCCTCAGGCCAGGGGACTCCTCCCAAACAGATCCTGGGCCTCATCTAGGACTCAGCCCAGTGACTGCTTAATGATGCTTCTAAACTAACTCAGAAACCATGTGCAACAGACAGAAATGAATAGAGGCTTTGGAAGGAACAAGAGGAAAGGGTGGAGGGCTAAGAAGAAGACAAGAGACAAAAGGTCAGAAGTGGGAGATGCCAAAGGAGCCGGTGGGAAGGAACGATGAAGGATGAGCCAGGGATAAAAATGAGACAGGCGCTGAGAGGAACCGGGGGCCCGGCCAGTGAGGAGGGCAAAGGGAGAAGAGGAGAGATGAACGGCAGGCAGATGGGAGGGGGCAGTGACAGCAATAAGGATGTAGGGGGACTGGGCGGCCCTCACATACGTTTTGATCATGGCCTTGAGAGCAGCCTTCCGTTCCCTATCAGCAAATTTGTCCACAAGGTAGCCAGACATGCAGGGTGCATTCCGGTAGAGCTGGAAGAAACGGTGGTAGTTGCCCAGAGCCCAGGCTGCCCGGAGTGCCAGAGCATGGGCGACACAGGGGTCTGCCTTCAGCTCTCGAGTCAAGTAAGCCAGTTCTGTGGTGATGTCTACAGGAAGACGAGAAGGAGTGAGTGCCCCCGACCTCTTCTGAAGAAATCACTCACCACCCCCTACCCTGACACCCATGATTCCCATCCAAGCTCACCCCCCGAGTTCTTAGTGAAGATGTAGTAGAGGATGCGATAGGCAGTGAACTCCCCTACGTTGCCTGGCAGGTTCTCTGCATATAGTGACTTCAGCTGCGTCTGGCACTGGTTAAACTCTTCATGGTCACCCTGAAAGAGACAAGGAGGACAGATGAGGTACCAGCCATCCTAAAAGAGGCTCTTCTGGATGGGAGGACTGGCACAGGGAAGACGTAGGGCATCACCAGTGAGCGAGGTGGACAAAAGATGGGGGAAAACCCAGTGATGCCCTGCTAAGGCGGGTGAAAGGAGGAGTGGGAAGACAGGGAGACGGTGACCAGATGGCTGGGGCTACGGGGCGGCAAGGACCAGTTCTGGCCTGGGCCCCTCTCACCTTTTCCAGGGCGATGCGTGCGTGCGTTTCATATACCTCCACCGTGAACTCTGTTCGGACGCCTTGTACCTGAGGAAGGAAGGACGTGTTTCAGGCACCCCAGTGACTCCTGCTCTCCTTCCCCTTGGCCCCTGGCCACTCTCTGTTCCCCTGGCCTGGGCTGGGCCACAGGACTCACTGTCAGGTCCTGCCGAATGGACTTCATCTGTTCACAGGCAAAGGCATAATCCTGCTTTTCCTTCCAGTGAGACTTCACCATGGACAGTGACTTCTTCAATACCTGAAAGGGAGGAGACAATTCTGACCTCGGGCCTGAGGAAAAGGCTGCAGGGGTGACCCTAACTGGGGATTCAAGGGCAGGCTAGGGACTGGTGTCAACGGAGAATACCCACAGAGAGGAGAGAATCATGGGAGATGGGGAAGAAATCAGACCCCAGCCTCAGGGCAGAGGGTAACTCTAGGTGGTCATGCTGTCTGCTGTGGGGAGAGGGCTGTCCTAGGCCAGCCCACCCAGGTCTACTCCCTCAGAGCAGCCACAGAAAGGTCAAGGGCCCTGAGAATCACACTTACAGCCACAGGCCTCACAGTGGAGGGGTCCGGCGCACAGGTAAGCCGGAGGTAGTGTTTGGTGATGTCCGGGCAGGTTCCCACAATCTTGAGCTCATTCCAGTCGGGGTCAGTGCTCCCACCATCCAGGCCGCCCATCTGTAGCACCAAAGGCTCCAGGCGTAGGCGCCGAGAATGCCCATGCTGGAATCGAGCGGCCCGTTTCTGCTTCTTCAGCTCCCGCTCAGGGTCCTCACACTCCATGGCTGCCGCTGGCTTCTTGCGACTGCGCTTGGCAGGGACGAGGTCATGCCTGTACAAGAGGAGGACCGTTAGACACATCCAAACCAGTTACCGGACGAGGGCACTGGGGATGCAAAGAGCCCCAGCCACAAAGAAGCTTCTGGGAAGCTGATGAGGGATGGGAACAAGGACTGGGGAGCTCCCTGTCTTCTAGCCACGCCATGGCCTCCCCCTTCCTCTGTCTCTTCCTAGCCCTCAGGAAAAGCCCGGTCAGCCTCGGTGACACTTCTCCACCTCAGCAGCGAGAGGCCTCACCTCTTCCCACGCTGCACACGCCCTCGGCCCCGGTCCATGTGAGCACCCCGGCCGCCCCGGCCTTTGGGTGCTGGATTTCTTCGGCCTCCCGGATGACACTCACTCCCTGAGTAGGAGCTGTCAGAGTCTGAGTGTGAGTCACTACAGCGAAACACAGGGTGGGGAGGGAAAAAGATTGGGGGGGGGTCAGGCCAGGAGTTCTTGTCTGCTAGGCCCCATCGGGCCCGCATCTCCCACCCAACGCCACTGCCATCACCTGCGGCGGAAATGACGGGACGGTGAGCGGGAGGAGGAGCGGGAGCGGGAGTCCGTGCTTGAGGAAGAGCTGTTATCCTTCATGAACACATTCCGATTTCCAAATTTGGTGGCAAAGCTGCTGCCACGACCCCGGCCAGCACTGCCAGTGCCCCCTGCCCCCCGCTGGGGCTGAGTCCCACCACCCCGAGGTGTTCCCCCCAGCTCCTCGGGCAGGGTGAAGGATGGCTGAGGCTTCCCACCGCTTCTTCTTGGGGCTGTCTGTCACAGAGTCCCTGCTTAGCCTGAAGAGAGAGGAAAAATCATTGCCCTCAAACCATAGCTCTGGATTACTGGGTCCAGGGGCTCACTCCCTCTACCCAGCAAGTTAGCAAGTGACCAAGAGCTGCTGCCACCTTGAGACCAGTCAGGGCCAAGCCTGCCCTCCGCCCTCCTGCCTCCTGCCTCAGCTGAGATGGCCACAAGGGGAGGGGGCACGATGGGTGGCTGTTCGTGGAGGGTTCTGCTCTAAAGAGCCTAGACAGGTCACAAAACAAATGGGATCAGGACCAGTTTGCAGATGAGACAGCTGTGGCACTCAGACACTAGATGACGAGCTCAAGGGCTCAGAACGAGGCTGGGACAGTCAAGCTGGAAGCCCAAGTGCATGCAACCCTGCCTCCCCTTCCCCCCCACTGACCCTGGCAGTGGCTCTCGGCTCCAGTCAATGGTGTAGGCCGAGCCGTCCTGGAGCCGGGCCTGCAGGACCTCTTTGAGAAGTTTCTCTGTCCGGTCCTTGTCCTCTTCAGACTCGCAGGCGGTGAAGCATCGCTGGACATATTCTTTCATGTCTTGGGGCCAGTCTTCGGGCTTCCCTGATAAGTTCCGATTTTGAGGCAAGCTGCAAGAGGGGAGGGGAGGAAAAGGAGAAGGAAGAAGTGTAAAGGAAGCTCAGCATGGCCACACCCACAGGAAGAAGGGACTGGAAAGGCTATGAGAGGCCCCAAGGCAGGCTCGGGTTTGAGACCTGGGGAAAACAGTCACCTGTGGCTCTGCGGCTTCTCCGGATTGGCCTGGGTCCCAAAGTTGCTGTGCTGTCCCTCAGAGCTAGAGCTAAAGTTCTGGCTGGTGACCACAAAGGGCCGTTTCTGGATGTTGAACTTGACGCTTCCTGCCCCTGGGGCTTCTGGGAAAGGTGGGAAACAGCATCAATAAGGGCCAAGGCTGCCTTTGTCCTCACGGACCTCCAGGACTCCCAAAGAGGAGGGGGGAAGAGAGGGGATGAGGATGTACCATTAGGTTGTAAGTCACTTGGGAAAGAAGAGCAAGCCTTGGCCCTAGTTTGTAAGGGAAGGAGGCAATTCTGGAAGGCGGCCCAGAGCAGACTTCAGTGCATCCAAAACCCTGGGGTTTTGTCTCCCCCTCCTACCAGGAGCTCCCTGAAAGCAAAGCCATATTTTGACCTGCACCCCTGGGGCTCCCATAGGCTGAGGTTGTCTATTCCTAAAAGTGTCTCAGTGACCAGGGCCTTCCCAGCCCCGACTGGCCTGAATACAGCCCCCAGAAACTCACGTTTCATACGGTTCCACAGCTGTTGTCCTTTCTTGGGCTTGGGAGGTTCTGAGTAACTGTGCTGCCCATAGGCCTGACTGGTGACCGGGCTAGCTTGCCCATGCTGCGCCGGGGAGGCCCCGGGCTGAGCCCCACTGCCCATCGTGTGGCCTGTGTGTTGGGGAGGTGGGGGTGGCTGAGGGGGCTGGGCTGCTGGTAACTGCTGAGGAGGGGTGGGGTAGGACATCGTCTCTTCCATGCCAGGAACTGGAGGCTAGCAAGATAAGAAATACGGTTGCTGGAGGAGGGCCTTAAGAGCCAAAGCCACAGTCTAAACCAGAGATCAAACTCTTAGCCCCAGCCAACCAGCCCACAAAACCACAAGGGCAGCCTCAAACAGATAAAAAGGTAATTGAGAAATGTTTAACGAGATATACAACATAATGTTAATCTGGTTTTTTTCTCCTACATTAATGTGTGACCCACAGAAATGTTTCTATTCTACTGTTCCAAATATTTGGCTTGGGGGAAGGAAAGGGAGGAAGTATTTATGGACCCCACTGACAGCCTGGTGAAGCCTATGGACTCCTTTCTCAGAAGACTTTGTTTTTTTAAATCTTTAACTGATGAAAATGCTACATTTCCACAAGAAGTTATTAAAAATAGACATCGTTTTTATGCCTGTCCAATTCAGAATCACCAGAAATTTCTCCATGGAGACGAACCCCTGAGGCTGACAGGGTAACTGAGGGGTAGGGGAGAAGAGCCACCCAAGGGGAGGCAACAGCCAGTTTCACAAATTAAAGCAGGGAATGTCCTTGGGGCCACAGCTTTCAAGCCTGCTACTTGACAGATGAGCAAACCAAAGGCCAGAGACAAAAAAAACAAAAACAAAAAAAGACAAAGGCAGAACCACATGGTTATACATATCACCTGTAAAACCAATCCATCAATGGAGTGCTGCCAAACTGCCACAAGAGTTCTCCTGCCAACATATCGGGGGTCATGCAAAAAGGATGCCCATTTTATCAACAAGGAAGCTCAAGTTCGGAAAAGTAACTTGCTCTCTTACCACAGCATCGACTTTAGGCCACCCAGCCCTACCCCCTCTCTTTACATGGGGCAAACAGACTGACACTTCACCCACAGGAGCACACACCATTAAATGCTGGAGGCCAGGCTCTAAGCCAGGTCTTCTGGCCCCGAGCCCAGGCCTCTTTCCCTTATGCCACAGGATCCAGGTCCCTGTGAGGCCCTGCAATCTTTGGCTCTGTGACTCCCTGGATCTCCCCAGGAGGCAGTAGCCAAAACTGGACTAACCGAGTCTTGTCATCCCCTCTGCCAGGGAAAGGTGAGCCACGTAGCATAACTAAGAGCAAAGAACTATGCAATCTTGGGAAAGTCATTTTACTTCCATGGGCCTCAGTCTCCTCATCTGGAAAATGAGGGCTTTGGATTTAAGATAGACTGATGTCCCTTCCAACAAGGAATCTATGACCTTCTGACTGAGCTCAGCCCAGAGCTCAAATTCTTTTTTTCCCCTTTTTTTAGGCAATTAGGGTTAAGTGACTTGCCTAGGGTCACACAACTATTAAGTGTGAAGTGTTTGGTCTGGGCCACATTTGAACTCAGGTCCTCCTGACTTCAGGGTCGGTGCTCTATCCACTGTGCCACCTAGCTGCCCCAGAGCTCAAATTCTTAACACAGGCCTCAGGCCTCTGGCTCCTGGGAAGCAGGGTTGAGATGGTGAGACCCTAAGGGCTTGTTACCTGGGTGAGAGCTCCCTGGTGCTGCCCAGGGGTCGCTGCCTGCTGCGGTGCTGCTGTCGCATAGGTGGTGGTCAGGCTGTACTGGCCTGGGGAGCCATAGCTTTGGTACATGTTCTAGGAGACAGGCCAGCGGTCAGTGGGGTTGCCAGCATGGACTCTCTTTCGGCCCCCTCCCTCCAATCCCCAACACTCACCATAGGGTAATAGTAATTGTAGGGGTAGGCGTAGTTGTATTGCTGGTACCACTGGTAATACTGCTGCTGCTGGAGCGCGGCTGCATCGGCCTGAGCCACATACTGAAGGGACACAGGTGGGGGGGCAGGGCACAGAGTGAGGGACACAGACACACACCCTCCTCCCAGGTGCTCCGAAATACACTTGGGGAAAAGAGGGGAAGGGGCAAGAATGATTCCACTCCAGCCACCCGGCCTCAAGCTCTTTAGCACCAAGTAGAAAGGTCCCATTGCCTCCAAACGCTACTTGTACCCCTCAGGCTAGGAGCTTCCCCAGGAGCGGCCCCATCTCCCCCCCCCACACTCTGCAACGCGCCCTTTCCCCTCCCCCTCCCCAGCCACCCAGGGAGGAGGCCGTGCGGGGCAGTCCCCGGCTCACCTGGGCAGTGGCCACCTGGCCGTTGCTGCTGTTCTTGGCCGAGCTGACCGTAGCGCTGGCCTTGCTGATGCTGGCCAGGGCCTGGCGGGCCTTCTCCCACTCGGGATTCTCGTGCATGGGCGCGTCCATGCCGCCCTCCCTGGCCGGCCCGCTCCCCAGACCGTATTGGGCTGCCCTGCGACACAGGACGTGACCTCATAGACTCACGGAACTTGGAGCCTGCCCGGCCCCTCGCCCCGCCCGGGAAGCCCCCAGACCACTCACCACTCGGCGCCGCGCTGGTCACCCACATTGGCGGCCATTCGGACCTCGGGCTGGGCACGGGGGGCCCGGGACCGTGGTCCGCGTCGCGCTGCGGGGAGAGCGGGGAGGTGAGGCGAGGGCGTGGGGCGGCCCCGGCCCGCCCACCCAAGCCGGGAGCCCCAGACTACGGACCGGCGGAGGCGGCGGCGGCGGCGGCGGGGCTGTGCTTCCGGAAGCGAAGAGCCTGCGCGCCGCCACCCTGCCCCTGCGCATCGGGGCCACGCTCGCTCCTCCAACACCGTCCCCGCCACGGGCGCGCGCCTCCAAGCCCCAAGCCCCAAACTGCCCAGAGAGGGCGGAGGCCGCGCATGCGCAACGGCGCCTCCGCGACCCAAACGCCCGAGCGGCCGCCGCCGGACGAGCGCTGCGCATGCGCGGTGGCGCCACCACCCCGCCGTGGAAGAGTGCGCCGCGGCCGTTGGCCTGGACCCGTGAACGGAGACGGGGCCTCGAGCCCCAGCGGAACCCCGAAGGCCCCCGGAAGCGCCGCCGCCGCATCCCTCGCCCCACTCCCGCGGCCTGCGCCCGCGGCCCAGCCCGATCCGGCCCAAGATGGCGGCACTAAAGGCTTAGCTCTCACCTGACAGCGGCTTCTTCCTCCGGCGCTGAATCCAACGCGTGAGCGACGGCAGCAGAGGAGGAAGGGACGTGGCGAGGGAGCGCACGCGCACAACGTCAGCACGCCGGCGCGCGCCCCGCCCCGTGGCCATCGCGGGGGCCAATGGGAGGTTCCGGACCAGGCCCGCTCCCAAAAGCTCCCCTTCCGGAGCGATCCTTTAAAGGACTCGGAATGACGATCAGAAGGCCCAATGAGAGGTGAGACAGTGATGGCCCGCCCCATCCAGGCACGCCCTTCCTCGCTGGAAGCTTAAGGTGGAGGAGGGGAAACCAAGAAGCCTCAACCAATGAGAGCTGGAGAGGCCGCAATGAGCCCGCGCCCCCCGGGACAAGCCACGCCCCATCCGAACTAGGGCGGAGGAGCAGGCTGCGCGCTGAGCGTTGAGCAGGGACCTGGAGAGAGAAGGAGAGGGGGAGGGGGAGGGGACCCGGCCGTGACCCTGGCGGGAAGGGGGGTGGGACAGACGAGAGACCCGGGCACTGGGGGGGGGTGGCACACATAGAGGGGACTCGGGCACTGGGGAGGGGGCAGACAGGAGACCCAGGCACGGGGGGAGGGGAAACACAGACAGAGGAGACCTGGCCGTGACTCCGGCACTTGGGCGGGGCACACAGAGGGAGCAGACCCCGGCCAGGACTTATGCACAGAAGGGCCAAAGAGAGGAGACTTGGGTCCTGACCTGGGTGCTGAAGTGGCACAGAGAGGGAGGAGATCTGGGCACTAAGAGGGCACGGAGAAACATAGCCAGGCCCCTGCTGGGCAAGGAGAGGAGACTGGCACCATGGTCTAGGCACTGAGGGGGCAGAGAGAGAGGAGGTGCAGACACGGACTATGAAACCACAAAGGAAACTGTCCGACCCCAGGGTCATCCATGCGCTGCGTAGAGTACCTGGGCAGGAGGAGAAAACGAGCCGGGCGCGTTGGGAGGGAGCCTGGCTGCCCTGGATCAGATTATCGGAAGTGATTGGAGAGGTATCAGTATTTTCCAGGGCAGATCATTAAAGCATTGCATTAGTGATCTTCAAAAGAAGCCCCGCTGGTGTTCTCATCCAGAACGGATTGTGCCACGGTAACCTTAGTACCTTTAGGTTTTTTTAAATGTATTTAGCTGTTAAATCATGGCAATATTGTGTGTTGTTTCTCTAGATTTTTGACAAAGTCAACTAGAGGCAACCAGGTGGTGCAGTAGATACAGCCCTGGGCCTGGAGTCATGAATTCAAACCCAGCCTCAGACACGAACGGAGTCCCTTTGTAGATCACTTCATCTCTAGCTGTTTCCTCATCAGTAAAATGGATATATCAATAGCACCTACCTCAAAATACCTAAAGTGCTTAGCACAGCGCCTAGTACATGATTGGCGCTTAATAAATGTTTCCCTTTCCTTGCTCCTATGTTATTCTTGTGGAGAAGGTGGAGACTGGGGTGGGCTGGATGCTGCTAGTCCAGCTAAGTTTGGAACTCGTAGGATGACCCAAAGACTGCCTGGTTTCTTGTCAGCTAGGCAGAGGCTCTCCAGTGAAGCGCTCCAGGGGTGGGTACGCAGGCGTGTTCCGTTTCACATTTTCATCGGTGACTCGGCCCGTGCCCAGAGGGAAGTGCTTTTGCACTTCCTGTCCCCCAAACCTGGAATCCTCTCCTGGCCTTCCTTCGAGGAGCAAATCCCATCCTCTGGAGAAGTGCCCCCCCAACTGCCAATGCCTCCCCTTTAAAGGGAGATTGCCTGCCCTCTGTGTGTGTCCTTATTAGAGTGTGTTCTCCCCGAGGGCAGGGTCATCTTCTTTGTTGCAGCCTTTCTTTGTGTCCCCAGAGCTTAGTCAGGAGTCTGGCACAGAGCAAGGGCTTAGCTGATGCTCGTGGACTGACTGTTGACCTGGATGGCAGGTGATGCAGAGTTGGGCGGAAAAGCTGCCGTGTCCTCCCGAGGTCAAAGACAGACACAAAGTGCCAGTGAACACCAGACAAATCACAGCAGCCCGTAAGTGTTACCAAAGAGTTAGAAACAAGGTGGATGCCTCCTTGGCATCCTTGGATGAATAAATGGTGGTATAAAAAATAATATGAGGCCTTGGGGAATTATGGGAAGATCCATGTCTGCACCTCCTCTCTCTCTGCCCCCTCAGTGCCTAGACCATGGCCCCAGTCTCCTCTCCATGCCCAGCAGAGGCCTGGCTATGTTCTCCCCAGGCCCTCTTAGTGCCCAGATCTCCTCCCTTTCTGTGCCACTTCAGCGCCCAGGTCAGGACCCGAGTCTCCTCCCTTTGGCCCTTCTCTGCATAGGTCTTGGCCCGGGTCTCCTCCCTCTGTGTGCCCAAACCAAGTTTCGGGGTCTCCTCTGTCTGTGGACCTATGAACTAGTAAGTGACTGAGACAAGCAGAACCCGAAGAGCCATGACCCCGACAGTGTCTGTGAAAATATTACTGAAAGGAAGGTGAAGTCTGAGTAACTGAAAAGCCAACTGTGGTTCAAGAGGACAGATAATAATCCATACCTCCCCTCTGTGAACCAAGAGAGCAGAAGGTTGCATACACGGCCAGGCAGGATCCCTATATGAGCTGTTTTACTGGAATGATTTTCTTTGTTATAAGGAGTGGTTCTGTGGGGGTGGGAAAGGGGCAGCAGTTAGCTTTGATATATCCACAAATGACTGTGATGTAGAAACAAATATCCCCAATTAAACTTGTAAAGAAAAGAAATTGGAGTCAAAGTTCCATAAAACCCTGACATGCCAGAACACCAGGCAGAATCTGATAAGATGAAATTTTAAAGAAATAAAGTAATGTCTTACATTTTGATTTTTTTTAAAACCCACTTCATGAGCACAGGAAAATTGTAGTTAACAGCTATGTAGCATTTTAAGATTAGCAAAGCACTTTATATAAATGTTTTCTCATTGGAGCCTCCCAACAACCTTTAGGGGCAAGTGTTGTTGTCCCCGTTTTACAGATAACTAACTGAGGCACAGAGAGTTTAGTGATTTACCCAGGGTCACACGTCTAGTAAGTGATTGAGGCAGGATTTGAACTTGTCTTCCTACTCCAAGTTTCATGAGCTCTCTGCTATGCTCACAACTAGGCAGCCATCAGCCTGAAAAAGACCCCTGGCGGGGGCAGAGGGGGGGGATGGTCTTAGTGACTGCAAGCTGGATTTATGTCAACAAGGCACTGTGGCAGCAAAGAAAGGCCAATCTTTTTTTATTTTATTTTATTTTTAATTATCAACAATCACTTTACTTCCATCAGCTTTTGAGTTTTAAATTTTTCTCTACCTCCCTCCCCTAGACAGCACACAATCTGATACAGGCTATACCTATACATTCCTATTAAATGTATTTTCACATTAGATGTTGTAAGTAAGAATTAGAACCAATAGGAGGAACCACCAGAAAGAGGAAACAAAACACAACAGAAGAAAACAAATACCAAATAGCATGCTTTGATCTGCATTCAAACTCCATAGTTCATTCTTCTTTGTGGATAGCATTTTCCATCTCGAGGCCTTTGGAGATGTCTTAGATCCTTGTATTGCTGAGAGGGGTTAAGTTTATCAATATTACTCATCGCACAACGCAGCTGTTGTTGTGTACAACGTTCTCCTGGTTCTGCTCACATCACTCAGCATCAGACCATTTTTTCCAGGTTTTTCTGAAGTCTGCCTGCTCATCACTTCTTATAGCACAATAGTATTCCATTACATTCATATACCACAACTTGCCCAGCCATTCCCCAATGGATGGGCATCCTCTCAATTTCCAATTCTTTGCCACCACAAAAAGAGCTGCTGTGAATATTTTTGTACATGAGTCCTTTTCCTATTTGTATGACCTCTCTGGAATAGAGCCCTAGAAGTGCTATTGGTGAAAGAAAGTTCAATCTTAGGATGCATTCAAGGAAACAGCATCCAGAAATAAGGCCTGTAAGATCTTGAAAGTGAAAGGGACCTCAGAAGCCATCCAATCTGACCCCTTCATATTGCAGCGGACAGGAGTGATGCCCAGAGAGATTCGGAATTTATGAAGTGCTGGGATTTAGACCCCAAATCCTCTAACTCCAACCTGGATAGCTTCCCCATCCCCTCCTCACTGTCTCTAAGGAGATGAAGTTCCTATCACTTGCCCTGGAATCTTGTGTTCAATTCTGGGCACCTCCTTTCAGGAAGGATTTTGCTGAGCTGGAGAGGATGGAGGGAAGATGACTAAAATAATGAGTACCTATTCACCAAACAATATGTGCCTCCTATGTTTGAGGCGGTGTGCTAGGTGCTAGGTATTTTTTAAGGACCTTAGATTTTATTGGGAAACTACAATAGATGCACAAGTACATGCAAAGCAGTTTCAAGGAGAGAGTCCCTGCCCTGTGAAGGTTAGGTGAAGGAACCAGGTTGGCCTATCCAAAGGAGAAAAGACTCAAGGGGAACCTGAGGCCTGTCTTCGAGTATGTGAAGGGCATAGCAATTAGAAATGTTCTCTTTGGCCCCAGAGGGCAGAGGGACAATGGTTGAGGGGTGGGGCAGCTTTAGGCTACAAGTCAGAAAAGAATTTGAAAACCAGTTGTATCACTGAGTTAGAAGCAAGACTGCTTGGGGGTGGGGGGGGTCGAGAGTTGATTAGCCATCAGTGGAGGTCTTCAAATAAAGTCTGGATGAGGTGAGGGCCACCAAGGGCATTTCAACATCTGAGACCCTCTGACTTCAGTAAGTAACTGGCACACACAGGGGCATGACAGAGTGGTGCCCAGGGAATATCAGCTCCCCCCACACCTGCCAGAGCTCTTGGTCTCTGCAGAAACAGAGCAGCTCACGACTTCTCGGCCCATGTCATCCCGCCAGAAGGGAACAGATTAATGAGAGAGCCTCCATTCTGCTCTGAGTCTCGCCACAGTGGAGGAAAGGGCCAGTGGGCGGGGAAAGATGGAACCTTTCAAGGAAGTGAGTACGTCAGCACATCAGGAAAACTGGATACAGTTGTAGGGAGGAGGTTTTTGGTGTTGCTGGGAAATGGTAGAGTCCTCAGAACTAAAACTCGAAGGTGTGGTTAGAGCTCTTCAAGATGAAATTCCACCAAGAGGAATAGTCACAGTGAGGAGGGAAGGGGAGGTGTTTTCTAAATACACCAATCTGGCTTCAAAAGGAACTTACTAACCAACTTGGATTTTAAAAAGATGTGTGGAAGGTCAAGGATAGAGGATGAATATGACCATGGGGCAGGAGCTCATAAGAATGTCTGGAGGGTCAAAATTTAGAATAAGGAAGGCTAAGTAGTATAAGAGAAAGCAGTCAGGAGCTTTGTCTTTAGCTGTCCTGAGCATGGCGTGGAGGAAGAGGGAGATCAAAGGAGGGGCAGGCTGAAGACAGTGAAGGAAGACCTGCTTACTTCTTTCTTTCGTCTGGGTTTTTTTCCTCCCAAGAAGAAAGATCTTTGGACAAGAAAGGACAGACCTAGAGAGTGCCTGGCTGCCCTTGTAAGTTCAAGTTATCAGGCCAGATGAAGGAAATCTTAGGATCTTGAAAGAACCAGTGGCTATCTTTGAAAGATGATGGAGAATGGGTTCAGGAAGGAAGAAGAAAAATGGCCCAAATTTCAAGAAAGAGGAAAAACCTGAGTCTGTAATTGGACTTTGATTCCTGGTCAGATTCTAGAATGGCTTCTTCAGAAAGAGCCCTTAGTAAAGGAAGTGATTCAGGATGGCTTCTCTTCAAAGCAGGTCTAACCAGCCTACCCGCATTTTGTTTTTGACAGGCCTACCAGACTACCAGGAGAATGCTGAAGAGAGCATTCGCCTACATCTTAGCGAAGGGTCATTCAAAGTCTCTCAGCTGTTACTGCAGAGAAGATGGAGAGATGTGACTGGCTGGTGGGCTAAAGCCAAAGCGTGGCAATCAGGGTTCAGTGCCAGCTTGGAGAAAGGTCTCTCGAGGCTCCTGGGACCTGGGCCAGTCCCTATCCTGTCAAACATTGTGATCAATGATTTGGTTAACATGCCTAGCCTGGCACCGTTGGCATGCTTGCTAACCATGTGTGGGAGGGAAAGTTAGCCCACTGGATGAGTCCATATCTGGTGAGAAGGCAAAGCAGAATCTGTTCAGATGAAATGTAAAAGGAATCGATGTAAATTCTGGTGCTTTGGTTAAAAATAAAACTTCGCCAGAAGGAGGAGGCATGCCTAGACAGCAGTCTGCCTGGTAAACATCTTTAGTGGGCTAGAGTGGACTACAAGCCCATCTGAAGCCAGTGGTATGATATGACACCCCCAGAAGCAGATGTCCTCTTAAGCTGTTAGATGAGGCTTGGAGACAGTCAACTATTTATTGTGACAAAGTGTGACAAGGGCTCCTGCCCTGGTCAGACCACCTCTGGATTGTTGTACCCATGTCCTAGTTATACTTCAGGAAAGACATTGATGTGGGGGAGGGTCAAGCCTAGAAGAAGGCCATCAGGAGAGTGAGCAAGGGCCCCAGGCTCATACCATTAAAAGATCACTGGAATTATCTGGCAATAGAGAAGAAAAGACTGGGGAGGGGGGAGCCTGAGAAGTTGGGAGTCACCTTGTTCTGCGTGGCCTCCCGGTTCAAAAGCATCTAAATGTTCAAAAGCATCTAAATGGGTGGAATCCTGGAGATAAACATTTAGGTTTAGTGTAAGGAAATACTTAACTGTGAGAGCTGCTCCAGGAGGTGGGGGCTTCTTTCTTACTGGGGGCCTGCTTATTTCTTGTTCAGGTAAAGGCTGGACCAGATGCACTGAGGCTCCTTCCAGATGCTAGGACCTAAAGGCATCAGGAGGAGGCCTGATACTGGCTGTGAACGAGTGAGTGAGTGAGGAGACATCCCCCTGACTCTAGCCTGGAACCTGGGAGGACAGAGGGGAAAGAGACCGGCCTCTGTGCTGCACTAGCTGCCCAATCCACAGTCCAGCTGAACTGGCCAGATCGCCGTTCCCACTGGTTCTACTTGCCTTCCATCTCCTGCTAGGTGCGGGGTGTCCCAAGGGAAGGCTTGTAGGGGCCAGGTCCAGCATCCTCCATCTGTGCCAGCACAAGGCATCTTCCACCTCCTGCTCCAGCCCAGTCTCCCAGCTGGGATGTGGGGAACCTTCAGCGCAAAGAAGGGCGGCCTTCCCTCATCTCCAAGCCTCCCATCTCCTTTGGGGGCAGAGGAGTGGTGCCCTCCACTCCGTGAGGAACATTCTCATAGCCGGCCATCCCCTTCACATACTGGTGACTCTAATCTCCAGTAGATGGTCATTCAGACCCCATTGCTCACCCCCTCCCAGTTTTATTCTCATCCTCCTCAATCCTTCCGCCCCACAGCTTCATCCTAATTTCACCCAGCCTTTCCAACGTGTGCTCTAGAATGCCTGTTCCGTAAGCAACAAAGAAAGCAAGCTCTGGAATCTGTTTCTCGCCTATTCCTTCCATGTACTAGCTCTTACTGAAACTTGGCTCTCCCCTAATGGCAAATCCTCCCTGGCCACCCTTCCCAGTACTCATTCTCCTTAGCTTCCTGGTCGAGGCAGTTCTGCTGGAATACTCCTCAGTCCTCCTTGCTGCTTCCAGACTCTGCCCCTTCCTCCTCCATGCAGTAACCTCTCTTCTTTGAGGCTCATGCTGTTCACACCTACACATCACAATCAAAATCCTGGCCACTACAGGTTGTCTACAGGCTCCCAGGTCATTCCCTTCCCTCCCTCAATGAATTTGATAGCTGGCATGCAGTTCTTCCTTCCTTCCCAACTCCTGCCCTCATACTAAGGGACTTCAACATACCTATTGATTCTCCTTCAAATACCCTAACCAGTCAGCTCCTCAACCTGCTCACTTCTCATGAGCTATCCCTCCACCCCACCTGGGCCACACACAAGGATGGTCACACCTTTGATCTTACCATCACCCATAGATGTACCGATTCCACGTACAGGAATTCTGAAATCCACTTTTCCAACCATCATCTATTTTGCTTTTCACCCTTCCTCCACCTTCCCTTACATAACCCTACTTTTCATCCTCACTATGACCTGTAATCCCTTGACCCCTCAATTTTCTCCTGAGACACCTTCCCTGCATTAGTCATTGTCTCTTCTCCCCATCTTGACTCCTTGGTGAATCAATTCAACTCTATACTGTTCTCCTTTCTTGAATCCCTAACCCCCCACCCCTGCCGCCTTGTCATATTTCAAATCATGCCCAGTCAAGCCTTGGCTCGCTCTCGCCATTCATTGCCTTCACTACTGCACACATGCTGATGAATGAAGGTGGAGAAAATCTGACTGGGTCCACTACAGATTTATGTTATGTAACCTCAGCTGGGCCCTCCCTGCTGCCAGGCAATTCTACTATACTGCCCTTAAATGATCAGAAGTAAAGAGTTGTAATTAATTATTGTCTCCCTTCAGAGTTACTAATGATCTCTTAATTGCTAACTGGCCTTTTCTTAGGCTCCTATCTCCCCGACCCCTCTGCAGTTCATTGATCACACTCTCCTCATTAATACTCCTCTCTCCTGGTTTTCCCCCTCCCTCTCAGACCACCCCTCAGTCTCCTTTGCTGGATCTTCTTCCAGATCATGCCTTCTAACCACAGGTGTCCTTTAAGATTCTGTCCTGGCCCTCTTCTCTTCTCTATACAGTACTACGTCACTTGGTGATCTCATCAGCTCCCATGGGTTTAATGACCAGCCATATCTATGCTGATGATTCTCAAATCAACCCATTTTGCCCCAGTCTCTCTGCTGACCTCCAATCTCATCTCTCCAACTACTTTTCAGAATTGAATGTCCAATAGACATCTTAAACTCAATAGACTCATTATCTTTCCCCCAAACCCTCCCCTCTTCCTGCGTTCCATATTACTGTAGAGGGCGACACCATCTTCCCAGTCCCTCAGACTCACAACCTAGGAATCATCCTGGACTCATCACTCTCACCCGCCATATCCAGTCCTGTGCCAAGGCTTGTCAATTCTGTCTTTGTGCCAAAGGCCCCTTCTCTTCTCTGACACTGCCCTCCTCCCCGCAGACCCTCATCCCTTCGCACTTGATTTTTGCAGTAACCTGTGTGGGAGTCTGTCCCCCTCTAATCTGTCTGCACTCCAATCCAAACTCCATTCAACCACTAAAGTAATTTTCCAAAAATGCAGGTATGATCATGTCACACACACCCCCAATAAACTCCGGTGGCTTCCTATTGACTCCAGAAGGAAATACAAAATGCTTTTGTTTGGCGTGCAAGGCCCTTCATCACCTTTCCAATCATGGGCCCCTTCCTACCTTTCCAATACTTTTGGATCCACCAGCCTCCTGGCTGTTCTAAGGACAAGACACTCCATCTCTTGGCTGCAGGCATTCTCTCTGGTTGTCTCCTATGCCTAGAATGTTCTCCTTCTGCTCCAAGCACCCACCTCCCTGGCTTCCTTTAGTCCCAACTGAAAATGCCACCTTCCACGGGAAACCGTCCCCAACCCCTCTGAATCCAAATGCCTTCCCTGCGATAATTATTTCCTTCTTATCCTGTATATAGTTTGCTTTGTATTTATCTGCTTATGTGTTGTCTACCCCATTAGACTGTGAGTTCCTTGAGGGTAGGAACTGTCTTTTTCTTCTTTTCATATCCCCAGGCACAGTGCCTGGCCTATAGTGGGTGCTTAGTAAAGGATTATTGATTAATTGATTTTCCCTGACATTCCATCTCCCCCCTCCTTCCTCCTGCACAGGCTGTCCCCCATGCCTTTTGGAATCCTTTACTTCCTACGAGGCTCCTGGGTAAAGTCATTCATACTGTCTTCCTTCTTAAATTTTCCTGTACATACTTAACATGGTTATGGGTTGTGTCCCCCAAAAGAAGATAAGCTCCTTGAGGACAGAGACTGTTAGTCCCACTGACTTTAATCCTCAGTCTTAGTATGGTGTCTTTAAAAGAGTAGGTATTTTGCGGCAGCTAGATGGCACAGTGGATAGAGCACCAGGCCTGGAGTCAGGAGAACCTGAGTTCAAATCTGACCTCAGAGCAGACACTTGACACTTACTAGCTGTGTGACCCTGGACAAGTCACTTAACCCCAATTGCCTCACCAAAAAAAAAAAAGTTTTATCAGATTGGCCAACATGACAAAACAGGAAAATGATAAATGCTGGAGAAGATGTAGGAAAATTGGAACACTAATGCATTGTTGGTGGAGTTGTGAAATGATCTAACCATTTTGGAGAACAATTTGGAACTATGCCCAAAGGGCTATCAAAATGTGCATACCCTTTTGACCCAGCAATAGCACTTCTAGGGCTATATCCCAAACAGATCATACAAATGGGAAAAGGACCCACATGTACAAAAATATTTATAGCAGCTCTTTTTGTGGTGGCAAAGAATTGGAAATTGAGAGGATGCCCATCAATTGGGGAATGGCTGAGCAAGTTGTGGTATATGAATTTAATGGAATGCTATTGTGCTATAAGAAATGATGAGCAGGCAGACTTCAGGAAAACCTGGAAAGACTTGTATGGTCTGATGCTGAGTGAAGTAAGCAGAACCAAGAGAATGTTGTACACAATTAACAGCCATGTTGTGAGATGACTAATATTGATAAACTTAACCCTTCTCAGCAATACAAGGATCTAAGACATCCCCAGAGGCCTTGTGGTGGAAAATGCTATCCATGAAGAAGAAAGAACTATGGAGTTTGAATTGCTGTCTTTTTTTTCTCTTCTGTTGAGTTTTGTTTCATCTTTCTGATGGTTCCTCCTATTGGTCTTAATTTTTACTTACAACATCACTAATGTGAAGATATGTTTAATAGGAATGTAAATGTATAGCCTATATCAGATTGTGCACCATCTTGGGGAAGGTGGTGGGGAGGAAGGAGGAGAAAAATTTTCAACTCAAAAGCATATGGAAGTGATTGTTGATAAATCAAAATAAATTAAGAAAAAAAGAGAAGAGTAGGTATTTTGAAACATTTCAGTCAGTTGATCAATAGAACAGGTACTGTGCTGAGTGCTGAAAATATTTCTTATTGATCATAGTTCTGGAGCCAGCAGGGACCCCAGAGGCCACAGAATCCAACCCTCCATTTTACAGATGAGGAGATAGAAGCCCAGGGGAGTGAAATGACCTGCCTGAGGTCACATTAGCAGTGCCAGAAGAAGGATTCAGACCTGTGTTCTACTGATCTCAGAGCCAGAGCTCCAAACTGTCCCCCAGGCCCCCTTTGTTAATTGCCCACTAGGCACCTCGGTGTGGAAGACACAAATGCAAATCTGAAGCACCTCCTGTCCTTAAGGAGCAGGAATTCTCCCAGAGCCATGGTGGGCCCTTTTTGTCCCCCAACTAGAGTAATGGACCTGATGGTAGAAACTCAAGGGGAACAGAGGAAGGAGACCCAGACAATGTTTTTTGTCCTGAGGTGAGGGGGAAAGGGCTTTGGAGATCTGGATCCAGTTCTGGGCATGAAAGAGACCGAAGCCCAATGATGGGTACTGAAGCGGGACAGAAAAGAATGAGGTTTGGGGCCTACCTATGCTGGGCACTGGAGAGGGACAGAAAGAATCAGGCAGATCCTTGACTGGGCACCAAGGGTGGGGTGGGAGGGAAGGAAGGAAATGGAGATCCACTGGGCTCTGAGGGCACAGAGAGATCCATGACTGGGGCACTGAGCTGGATAACAAAGGGGGAAGGGCTGAGGAACTTGGGAGCCACCAACAGGGTGCAAGCTGGCTATGCGAGCTGATTTGGAAGACCTGGATGGGGTGAATGGAAGTGGGCACTGGTGATGACACCTTGAAAGGCCCATTGAGATTAACCCAATACCCTCATTTTACAAGTGAAGAAAATGAGACCCAGTGTGTCTCAGTGGTTTGCCTATGCTCAAAAAATTAGTAGCAGACCCAGCACTGAAACACATGTCCTCTGCCTCCAAATCCCATTGTGTCTACCCTGGAGCACTCTGAAGAATCCCATTACCTTGTAGAGGCCCTGCCAGTGAGGTGTGAGAGCCACTTGATGGTGAAACTTCTTTTGCTAGGAAGGAACAGTGTATCTCAATAGATGGGCTTCCAGGAGGAGGTGAAATTGGAGTTGAGCCTTTATGGTTGGACAGAAACCAAAAAACAGCTCCAGACACATGTAAAATAAAGTCTTCTTTTTTATTTCAAATCTGAGTTAGTGGTGCTGGTTCTAAGCACAAGGAGCTCTGGACCCAGGGCAGCTGGGCCAAGAAATGGGCCAAGGGGAGGTTCTCCATGGTAGCTGCTCCTAGGAGGGCCCTGAGCTTCCTGGCTTTCATCCTGGCTGGGATCCCTGGGCCTGAGCCTTGAATGTTGGTTAGAGAGGACAGGGAACTATCTTCTGGTCATTTCCCCAGGGTAGAAAGAATGACTCGGCCTCTCCTGAGCCAGGCAGAGTGTGGCAGTGTTAGTCATCATAGCTAGAAGAATCCTGGCAGGGAAGGGGAAATTTCTCTGGTGAGTGGGTGGTTCCTAGGGATGAAAAGAGACCACAGAGATAGCGTAAGGTTTGAGACATAGACAGTGATATGGATGGTGGACAGCAAACTCAAGAGACAGAAGGATGGGAGGAAAGGCCAAGAGACTGAGCATTGAACAGATACAGAGTAATAGAAAGAGAGACTAAGGATTGGACAGAGTGGCTAGAGAGAGACGGGGAATGGAGAAGCTGATGGAGAAAGAGATAGACAAGATTTAGGGACAGAAGATAAACAGAGAGGCTAAGTGACAGAAGGATTCACAGAGAGACTGCATACAATATGAGAGAAGCAATCCAGGGCTGACTGGGACAGGAGGCACAGGAGAAGGGAAAGTGCCACAGCTGGGGCTCACCAGAGGTGGGGGTAGCAGACCCAGCCCAAGGGGGGAGTCTCAGATGGACGACTGCCATTGGACAAAGCGTTTGGATTCCTGTTGGCCCAGAGAAGGGGATGAAAGAGTTAATAAAGCATTTCAGGAGATGCTCTCCCCTACCCCATAGTAAGAAGTCCAGCCCCTGGCCCCTGGCCCATAGGGACTCAAGCAAGGATGTAGCCCTCAATCTCTGCCCCCTCAGAAACATAGACATGCATCTGATTCCCCATCTTCCCCCTTCTCCCCCACAGTGCATGCCCGCCTGGGAACCCCACATGCCTGAGGGTTGAAGGGATCATCATCTTCTGGGTCGTCGTAGTCATCGCTGGGGGGAGCGGGGCACAGAGCTGGGAAGGTGGCAGGAGGGGAAGTTCCCTCCCCTTCTGATAGATGGGGACCCCCAGAATACTGTGTTCCCCTCCCAGACCCCTGTGCATCCTCCACCTCACTGCCTGGCAATCTGAGGAGTCCTATACACCCTATAATCTTCCCCTTCCTCTTTTAGGGGAACCTCCCGAAACAGGCCCCTTTAGCACCTTGTAGAGAATGGTTGGGGCTCTGTCCATGGTCCTGCATTTGGGGAACCTACCCAACTCAGCCACCCTCTCCCAGTCTCCCACTTCCAGCTGCTTACCTGGGTGGGAAGTGGGCCCAGGCACCAGGCAGGCTGCACAAAGCCGTGGCCAGAGCCAAGGCGGACAGCAGGGAGAAGAGGAGCAGGAAGAGGAGGCCCTCCATGGAGTCCTCACACAAGCCCCGCAATGCTGCCCCATAGTCCTGGGGGCAGGGGGCCAGAGTGGGCATCAGCAGGGTTGACGCCTCTCAACCCCCCCACCCACTTCTCAACTGGCTGCTTGATTTCTCTCACCCCAGCAAAGGGAGTCAGGCAGAGCAATCGTTATGAGATGTTAATTGAGAGACCCACATTCGAGTCCCTGTCTGACTCTTGACTCACTGTTTGACCTTGTTAAGGCCCTCAGTTTCCTCATTTGTACAATGAGAATCTCCAAGGGCTCATCTGACATTTTATGATTCCTAGTATTTACTGAGTCCAGGAGAAGTCAGAGTAGGGGAGAGATCACATACATCTCATGGCAGAAGTCCAGGAAGGCTTCCTAGGGAGTGGGTCACCTGAATTGGGCAGGGGAAGATTTGGAGCTGAAGGGAGGGGAGAAGAACAGTCACAAGGAAGTAGAAGGGGCGGCCAGTCTGCATGGTGAAGAAGGGGGCTTCACGGAGAAAAGGATGGAGAGGAAGGCAGGGGCTAGACTGAGGTGACCTCAAAGGATGGGTGATGGAGGCAGAAGTGATCCTGCTTGGGGGAGAGGTGAGGGAGATGTAGGAAACACCTCTGGGCCCAGGGCAGGAGAGATGGGTTTGAAAGAAACTGAGCCCAGGGGCTTCCAGAGAACCCAGGCAGGGGAGGGAGGAGCTGGAAAAGGAATGAAGCAGAAGGTTTGGTCACCTTGTGCAACCCTCGGCAGTGTAACAGCGCCACCAGCTGGTGGAAGTTCCCCTCCGTCACATTCAGCATCTCTTCCAGGGCCAACAGCGGCTTCTGCCTCCAGTCCAGAAGGGGTTAATGTCCAATCTCGAGGGCCCTGCCCTTTCCCACAGACCCCTTCCCAATTAAGCCCCACCCCCAGAAGGGTTCCCACTGACCTGGGCTGCCGGGAACTGGGGAACTGCCTCTCGTTCCAGGCCCTGGAGCTGGGAGTAGATGCTAGCCAGAGATCTCTGGGACAAGGTCAGCCTCTAGGGGAGGTGGTGAGTGTGGGTAGGAGGGAAGGAGGGAGGGAGGCCAACACCTGGGTCTTCTCACCCACTCAGAAGCCTCCACTTCAAGACCCAGAAATCACAGTCCCAGTCCCCCACTCTCAGAGACAACATTAGGAACTTGGAAAACTGAATCCTTATTCCCTTTTACTCTGGGGACCCAGGTGTCCAGGCCCCACTGCCTTATAACTCTAGGGACCTGAGGAAATCATAGAAATTTCAGAAATTACAACTCCTATGAGGCCTTGGGGTAGAAGAGCTTGGTCTAACTCAGACCCACAATAGCCAAGCCACCCTAGGGGCTTCTAAAAGATGCATATGTCACCTCCCAAATTGGGGGAGGTGGAGGGGAAACCCAGGAAGGAAAAGAGACATGATGGTCTCCTAATCTTGCTCTTCTTAGAGGCTTCAGACCCCACATTCACACTGCCTCTAGGACTCACCTCTTGGAAGGGATTGGAAACCACCTGGTTGCAGAGGAAGTAATAGTGGAGGATTTCTGTAGAGGAGGAGGAGGAAGAAAAAGGAAGACAGAGGAGGAAGACAGACAGAGACAAAAATGGAAACAAAGAGACAGAGACAGAGAACACCCAGTGAGCTTGGGGGCAGAGTGCACCCAGCAGCTGACACTCATCCCTAAAGTTGCCCTCTTCTTACCTGGATTTAGGCCAGTTTCTTCCCTAGTCAGGTTCAAGACATAGGGATCAGGACTGGAGCAAAAATCACTGAGACCCTGAGAAAGGGTGGGGAAGGAAAAGAAGGGAGTTGCTCGGACCCAAACTCAAGAGGCTGGACTCCCAGCCGCACCCCCCCTTTCTGTGAACCCCCCTCACTCCCCCCCAGTCTCAGATACTCACCACAGCAGCAGCTGCCTCTAGCCCCATGGATCCCCAGCTCAGCACGAGAACCAGCAGGCTCATGACTGTCATGCTAGTGTGAAAAGGAAATATTCATCCCTATTTTCTTACCAATCTCCTTCCTTACCCCAAAGTCCTGATGAAATCCTCTCCAAAGCAGTTCACCACCTAGAGCTACCTATGCCTGTGGACAGCTCCGTGGTGCTGAAGGTGCCAGTTGCTGGGTATCCCCTAAGTATCCTCTGAGCCGCTTTCCTGGACAGCTCCGTGGTGCTGAATGCTTTACTCCTAAGCCCTCCCTCCCTGCAGCAGAGAACCCTTCACATCTCTGAATAGGCAGAAGAATTTTCAGTGCTTAGCACAATGTCTGGCACGTAGTAGGTGCTTAATAAATGTTTATTGATTGATTGAATTTAAGGAACCTTTGCTGAGGGCCTTCACAGTGAGTTCTCTGGACTCAAGCCCTACCTGGGTTAGGGTTAGCTACCTGGTGCTGAAGGTGTCAGGGGATTGGTGAGAGATTCGCTAAGGTCCCGCTTTGGGGCCCCAATCTGTGGAAAGCTCCATGGTGATAAGGGGGTCAGTTTAAGGACGTAGCCCTCATGTAATGAGAGATGCCAAGAAGGAGATCCAAGCTCTGGCTATGGAGATAGCAGATGAAGTGAGAGGGGTTGGCAAACTCACACAATCACAAGCCATTTGCTTTGCTTAGCAAGCCCAAGGAGAGTAAAGAGGCAGACAAGGAGATCAAGGAGCAGGAGGAGAATGTATGCCAACCACCTAAGGAGGAGGACATGGGAGGGAAAGGTCAGGACAAATCTGGGTTTGAATCCCAGATTTGTCCCAACTTCCTGTGTGCCCTGGGGCAGATCACTGCCCCTCTCTGGGCATTATGCTCCCCATAAATCCAATGGATGTCTCCCACCTGTGACCCTGGTGACCCCACCTTGGCCCACCTGTACTCCTCCACAAAGGAGACACTTTCAGCCACCCGAATTGGGCTCAGGGGCACACCCCTCCAGAAAGCCAGTTCCCCCAGCTGCTGGGCCACAGCTTCAGCCTGCCTCCGGGCACCCCGGGCAGCTGCCACCAGCTCTGTCCTTGGGGCCATCACTTCCTCCAGAGTTGTCAGCTCAGACCTAACTGCTGAGCCCAGGCGTTCCACTGTTTCTGAAACCTGGGGCACAGAAGACACAGCCAGCAGAGGAGATTAGTGTCTGGGTCTCAGAATGAGCAGGAAGGACACTTATCTGGGACAACTACAGATGTCTGGGAATGAGTAGAGTCTTTGGCTAAATAAAATGGTCTCTATGGAAGGCTCTGAGGAGAAGCAGATTGGGTGCGATGGCTAGCTTGAGTGGAAACAGGCTGTGGCTGGACATTCCAGCCCCTTTGGCTGGGTCTGGGGAGTGAGGAGGATAGCCTCTGTGGCTGGTTCTGGGGTTCCCCCCAAAAAAACATATGTCAGGATGAGGATGCCCTCACCAGCCGGTCGATAGAGCTGAGCGTATGGTTGGCATGCAGGAGGGAGAAGCTGAGCTGGGACACCCCATCACTGGTCTCACTGTTGCCATAGAAACCGAGCCCGATACCAGCGCTGGGAGGGGAGGGATTGGGTAGAGGATGGTTCAGCTCATCTCCCAAGGCCTTCCCATCCTCTCCACCCCCTCTTCTCTACTTCCAGTGGTACAGCCCGTGGGAACCTGCCTCCCTCGGCCTGGGTTGCTGAGGCAACGGGAAGGGCTCATTCCCCCTGCCTGGGCTGTGGAAGAGAGGAGGAGAGGTGGGAACACGATGAACTCATTGTGATGCAAATGAAGGGGTTAACCCCTGGAAGCCCAGCAAGCCTCCAACAGCTCTGAAGCTGTTCTGAAGCCCCGCCCCTCAGGGAAGAAGGCTGCCAGGACAGCCCTGCCCCCTGCAGACCAGGCATGACCTCTGCCCCAGCCTCCTCCTTCTAGAGGACCCAGGCTGGCCTTTTGCCAGAGGCCCAGACCCCTTAGGGGACCCAGGCGGCTGGTGCCCCCAGTCAGGGAGAGACACAGAGCCCTCATTGTGAACTGGACTCATTCCCTCCTTTCCCAGGGTCCAGCCCCCTTCAATTCCCCAGAGTCCATTGTCCTCATCCCATTCCATACAAAGGTCCCTTGTTCATTCTCATTCCCCCCACCCCACCCCAGGCTGTGCCACTGTCTCTCAGGGTCTTTGTCCTCCTGGCCCCCAACCCCTTCCAAAGGATGGCACTCTGGTATCTGGGGCCCTATCACCTCTTCTGCCCCAAAAGAAGCTGGTTCTGAGCTGAGGGGGTTGGAGAAGGCCTCTAAGACCCTGCTCAGGAGGCCTGAAAGAGCTCTTCTGTGTTTAGTGATGGGCATGGGAGAAGCCCTCAAAACTCTGTTATGGGCCTGGGGAATCCTTCAAGGCTTTGTTATGTAGGGGATGAGGAGGTCTTCAAGGCCTTCCTCTAAGGCTCTGTTGGGGAGCTGAGGAAGGCTCTTGAGGCTCTCTTGTGGAGGCTGGAAGAAAAAGGCTGTTATAGGGAGAGGTGGGAAGCCTTCCAGGCTCTGCCAGGGGCAGGGGGGAGGGGGCTGGGAGAGCCCTTCATGGCCCCATTCCTGGAGTCCCTGGCCCCTCCCCACCCACAGGGTCCCAGGTACCAGCCGAGAAGAAGGGCAGCCACACAGCTCCAGGTGACACAGCCTCCTCCATCTGGAGAGCCAGAGGCCTCGGGAGGACCAGACTTGGGCCTGCGGCAGCGACAGCATGATCGCAGCAGATAGAGTCCCAGAACAAGCAGGTTCACAGCCAGGCCCAGCCCAGCCAAAGCTGCCACCAGCAGCAAGGCCTGAGAAGAGGGAGGAGGGAGGAGAGAGGGTCCACGGAGCTCAGGGGTGGACCCACAGCAGACCGGTAGCCCTCGTTGTCCCCATCTGGAAAATGGGTGGGGGGTGACTTCATGGAAGTAGGAGCCTGTGCTGGATTTTGTGTCTGTGTACCTGTGACCCTGGATGGGCAGCGGGCAGTGAAGCTCCAGGTGTGACCCTCCCTCCCTGTGAGAGTGTGTGTGAGTCTGTGTGTGAGCCCTGGGAGTTTCTGTCCACCTGAGTATCCTCCTCTGGCAGATAGGTGAGACATCACCCATCTCTTGGTTTCCTGGAACCATAAGACTTGGCCAGTTATAGGGACAGGTGTGGGACCTGCTGCCCTGTGACTGAGCTTTAGAATGGGAGGACTGAGGAAGCATACATTTGTGTCCCATTGTTTCAAATTGTGACTTGCCTTGAGTCACTGGCTCTGTGTGTGTGTGCATCTGTGTGTGAATCTCCATGTGTGAGTGTGAAACTGAGTGTAACCACATAGATGGCTGTGTGTGTGGCTGTGAGACTGTGTGTGTCCAGGTGTGAAGTGTGTGTGTGTGTGTGTGTGTGTGTGTGGCTATGATCATGATCATTGCTGGCTGGGAGCCTGGCCCTGTGAAGATCCCTCTGTGTATGGCTGTGTCTATATGTGTCTGCATGCAAGTGTGTGACAGCCTGGTGGTGGGGGCCTCCCAGCTCTTCAGTTTCTTTTACTGTGACCTAAATAGTTCAGCATTCACTGCCTAGCTCCCCCTTCTCTGGAGCCCCTGGGGGCCCTTGAGCCAACCAGACTAGCCTCGGCCACCCTCCCAATTAGCCTGGACTAATTAACGAGCCTCAGAGGACCCACTAGCTCCTGCTATCATGACCCTCCCCTAGCTCCCCCCAGACATATATCCAGGTCTCCCACATCCACCCAGAAAAATCCCAGTGCTTCCATTTCTACCTTCCCTCCCCCAAGGGACCCAGGTTTCTGCCTCCTAGCCTTTTCTATGCCACGAGGCACCATGGTGCCTGATCTCCCAGTCCCCTTGTCTCAGGGACCAAAATGCCCCCTCCCCTAGGCTCAGCCCCATCTGAGATTAGGCATGCCCTCCTTCAGTCCCTCGGGGACCCAGGTATCCCCTCTCAGCTCCTCCCCCCCTCAGAAAGACCCCTCAGGTCCCCCAGTCCTGCCCCCTCCAGGACCCCTGTGTCCTCCACACCTGCTGGTAGTCCTGTTCCTGGGGGGCAAAGGTGCTGGCCACAGGTCGGAGCTGAAAGTTGGTGTGGGGTACCTGGTGGAGCAAGTGGACCCAGCCTGAGGGCCGGAAGCCCGGGGGTGGCCCCCCCATGGCCTCCTGGCCCCCAGAACTGCTCCGGGCGGGATGTGCTGTGGAGCTGAGGAGATGGCCCTGGAGGAGAAGGCAGAGAAGGCAGAGGAGGAGGAGGAGGAGGAGGAGGAGAAAACAGAGCAAGGGTTGGGGCGAGATTTGGGGAGTGGGAGGTGCCAGCTCTTGGGTGGGAGGGGCCAGGGCTCCCCCTGGTGGCCACCGGAGGTTTCACACCTAGCTGGAGTGACCAACAGAGAACCAGGAAGGCCTGGCTCCCCAAAATCCTAGGGGAGAGACAGAGGCTGGGGCAAGGGGGAATCATGCTACCAGAGGAGAGATTTGAGACCTCAGAAAGTGTTCTGTTCCGAGGAAGAGGGAGATTAGGCAGAGATGGGGGGTCCCTTCTAAGAATACCCCGTTCATAAGATCATAGACCCCACTCATGGGCTCACTGGGGGGATACTGCCCTTAGGGGAACAGAGACCTAGCTCCAGGAGGGGGCTTCCTCCCCCTGGAGAAGGGACAGGGGAAAAAGCAGATACGAACTTAGGGGAGATCCCACCCAGGGAGGAGGTAGATAAAGCCTCAGACGGCAAGTTTTCAAGCCGGGGGAGACCTTCAAGGCTCTGTTACGGGCCAACTCGGAGAGATTTTCAAGGTCCCGTTATGGGGGAGAGAGAGAGTCCTTCAAGACTCTGTTATGAGGATGGGCAAGGCCTTCAGTGCTTCTGCTCTGGGGAGGAGGGAGCAGCCCAGTTCCCCTCCCAGCCCCCTCCCCTTCTCCCCTTCCCCCCTTCCTCCACACAGACTCCAGATTATTTATTTTTGGGTGGGGTATCACAGAGTATGCAAAAGAAAGGTGGCCTTTGACACTCTGAGGGAGGAGCTCAGTGGGGGGGAGGAGTCCCTGGTTGGGGGGGGTGGAGACCAAGGAAGGAGGATGAAGGGCGGACTAGAGAATCCCTCCTCCTTGCTCCGCTTCCCGGCCCACGCCGGAGGATGCGCGGGCCAATCCACGTAGGCATCCCGATGAGGTCACCATTACTGAGCAGGCTTGCTCGCTCTGTGAGTAGGGAGGACTAGTTTGATGGGGGGGAGAGGCGTTCCAGCTGGACCCCAGCCCTCGCCCTCGCCCGCTAGCCACCTCCCTCTCCAAGGGTCCGCGACTGAAAAAGAGACGGAGAAAGACAGCCTGAGACAGAAAAGACCTCAGAGATAGCTAAGGACTGAGAGACACATAGAGGAAGAGGAAGACCGAGACACAGAGACAGAAGAGGAAGACAGGGACCCAGAGACACAAGGGGTTAGAGACATTTGTCGGGGGAGGGAAAAGAGAGAGAGAGAATACACACAGAGGGGAGGGGGCAGAGCCCACCCCCACCACACAGGCCTGCAGTCTGCCTAGAGCCTGTCTGGGCCACGTTGGGGAGGAGAAACAGGGCTGGGGTTCTGGGGAAGGCCACGTCCTGGGATGCTTTGGCTAGTCCTGATGCCATGAGGGTTTTAAAGAGACGAACGTCCTCCCGTAACAAGGAGAGAAGTTGAGGCGCAGAACAGCGCAGCGTTTCCAGCTAAAAGAAGCGAAGCTCAAACTGGGGCCTGAATTGTCCCCCAGAAGCCAGGATGCTTGTCTAGTTTGGGTCTCCTCTGTGTGGTGACTCCCCTGTGCCCCTCTGAATGCCATCACACACACACACACACACACACACACACACACACACACACACCGACTCTAAGGCTCTCCCTCCCTTGAGTGCTCTTGAAATGTAACTGGCTTGGACCCACTTAGAGACATCCTAGCGTTCTGATTTTCTGAGTAACCTGTCATCTGTCCTTTCTCCTCCCAGGGTCTGGAGCCACTGTGGCCACCACTCTCAATGCTCTGCTGTGCCTCAGTGAATACTGGGCAGGGGGAAATTGGCAGCGTACTACTGGGGACTTTCAATGCTGGAATGGACTTAGAGACCACCAAGTTCGGCCGGCTATGCCGGCTCCCCCTTTACTGAGCCCAATGAGGGGAAATGACGTCCCAGGACATATCCTGGCCTTGAACCCTGGTCCCCTGGTCCCTAGCCAGCCGGCTCAGACCAAGCCCCAGGCCAGGCCTCTGGGCCCTCTCTGTGTTTGGTGGGAAGGACACAAGGACCCATGTCTCAGTCAGGGCTATGTCGAGGAGTGAGGACAGGGGAAGCTGGCCTGGACTGAGGAGGGTGACCCCAGAGAGCCACTGAGGCAACAGCTCAGAGGAATAGTGGGGAGCTGGGACTTCAGGCTCTGAGTCTCTTCCAAAACCAGTCCCCAGACTGACCCCCTGGGCTGAGCCAGGCTCTCCGGTCCTCAAGGGGCATGTGAACCTTCAGGGTCCAGGACATCCTGAGGTCAATGGGGACAGCAGCAGAAAGTAGGATATGTCAGGGGCTTGGGGATGGGCTGTTCTCCTACTCGCTGCAGCAGAAAACATTGGGGGTTCCTATGTCTCTGCCAGAGTTAATGATTTCCTTGGTTAGAGGTCAGGGATGTCCCAGAGCTATTGCTGTCCACTGAGGCGCTGGGCTCCATACCCCCCAGCAGGCCAGGCCTCAGGTGCCACAGCGCTCTCAGATGTACTCCTCCTCCTACCCTCCTCCCCACCTCTGCCTCTCCCCTCTCTTCCCTGCTTTATCAGGGAGTCAGATCTAATCTGAAGCAGAAGAGGAGCCAGCAATCCCGGTCCTGACCCTGGGACACAGGGGTCTCAGCCTGGGTTCTCTGAGGGGTTGGAGGGAGGGTGAGGGTAACTGCCTGTCTGACCTTCTCTGTGAAACCAGGAGAGGGAGGACAGGATGGAACACACACACACACACACACACACACACGGGACCAGAGCCCAAGTTTGGGAGGAGACTCCTTCTGTTCTCCAGGTCTACGGTATGATAGGGCTTCCCTTTCAGTCATGCTCAACCCCAGGTGGCCTCTGGGCAGAGCATGACTCCCTCAGAGGAAAGGTTTGATGGCCAGGTCTTGAAATGGACAGATGCCTGAACCTAGAGTGAGGAAGACCTAAGTTCAAATCTAGCCTCAGACACTTACTAGCTGTGAGACCCTGGACAAGTCACTTAACTCTTGTCTGCCTCAGTTTCCTCATCTATAAAATGAGGATAATAGTAGCACCTGACAAGCTGACTGTGAGGATAAAATCTGATATTTGTAAAGCACGTAACACAGTGCCTGGCCCATAGTAGGCCTTATAGAAAAGCTAGCTATTATTTTTATTGCTGTGGCACAAGGAAGGGGTGAGTTTACATCCCAAATCTCAGGCCACTTGCCCATCCTGGCTGTGAGGCGGCACAGGGAGGCGTTTACAGACAGAACATTTTTTACCAGCTTCATTCCTTTCTCTCATGGTCTACCATCTGGAACTCAGGCTCCTAGGGGAGAGTGAGAGGGCCACAGCTTTGCAATATCCCCCATCCCTCCCCACCTTATCCAGTCTGGCTACTCAGTGCCCTTCCTAAGGGGAGCCCAGAGCCCACTTGGCCCGCAAATGCTCTGAGGCTGACAGGAAGTCTCTAAGCCCAAGGAAGGTCAATGAGGGCCCCAGGATGGACCCTGAAGGGCCTCCCCTGCCCTCCCACCCTGGGCTTCTACCCCTGGTCCCCCTAGATGTAAACAATCTATCTTCTGGGCCCAACTGGAGGAAGAGGTGGCCCTGGTCCCTAGCAGGATTCTGCCTCCCAGCTCCTGGGAAGCCTTGAGAGCTAGCTACCAGGGCAGAGGCTCTACTGTGGGAGTGGGACATTCCCACCCAAGGGGGTTAGTGAGGGGAGGTGATAGGGAGAGGTTGAGGAAAGTAAGTCAAAGGCTTGGGAAGCATGGAAGACCAGGGAGGTGACACCCCTTCCCCCTCCCCTCCGAGCCTGCCAAGAGGGATCCCCCCTTAACAACCCGCACACTGTTCCCTGGGACTCTGACCTAACTAGACTGTTCTTGGAACCCATCTTCCCTCCTCTCGTTATACCCCAGGTGAAAAAAGAGAACCCTACATAAGACTTAGACTCCTCAACCCAATGAGTGAGGGTAACTACAGAATGTGAGTTGTCATGTTTGTCTGACATCCTTGCCTGCTTGGGCCTAGTCCAAATGGGGAGAGAGACACAAGAGAGTGGACAGACAGAAAGACTGGGAGACAGGGGAAGGGGGTTGCAGCTGCCAGAGGCTTGGGGAGGTCTCTAGAGAAAGGAAGAACAGAGCTGGGGGGGGGATGGGAGAGACAACTCCAGCCCCTCAGCTTTCTTAGCTCTTGATTCACTGGTGACCCTGTGGGACTACACCATGTCGTCAACACAGCCAGGCTAGCTGGCCTGAGCCCCAGGGTGTCTGCATGTTTCCTAGTCCCTGCCTCCCCCAGGCCTAAGCTAGGGGGATTGTCTCCCCTGTTCTCATCTTAGCTTCCATAAGGTGAAGATACCTGAGTGACCCTCCCCAAGGAATATCTCTCCTTGCCCCTAACTCTACTTCTGACCTAGGTTAGTGACTCAAGGCTGTGTCTCCAAGCAAAAACTCAAATCTTGGGCAGCTGTGTGGCATAGTGGATGGAGCCCCAGTCTTGGAGTCAGGAGGACCTGAGTTCAAATCTGACCTGTGGGCAAGTCACTTAATCTGGTTTGCCTTAGTTTCCTCATCTGTAAAATGAACTGGAGAAGGAAATAGCAAACCAGTCCAGTATCTTCACTAAGAAAACCCCAAATGGGTCATGAAGAGTTGGACACAACTGAACAACACAATATGGTGGGCACCTGGCTAAGCATTTTCATAGATAACTTCTCACAACAACCCTGGGAAGCACAGTGCTATGATGATCTCAGCTCAGCTACAGCTGAGGAAACTGAGGCAGACAGACATTAAGTGACTTGGCCATAATGCAACAGCTGGTAGATACCTGAAGGCAAATCTGAACTCAGATCTTCCTGACTCCAAACCTGCACTCTGGGCCACCCACCAAACCCACTATCTCTGCTTCAGTAGCTCCAGCCAGGCTGGGGATGTTTCCCCAGGGTCCCCTTGTAAGTCAGAAGTGGGTCCTTGCCAGGGGCAGCATGCCCTGGGGTGTGGGAGGGGTATGTCTGGGCCTCTGGAAACCCAGGGTCCTACCCTGTCATCTGTTCC